ATGCCGCCACAACTTGGCCCATTTAACCCGCCCTGGCGCGGCAGGAGTGGGCGGGGCGGGGGGGGGGGCGGCGGCGGCGGCGAGTCTTCCAAGTCCTGCAGTGAACGAGTGTGTGCCGGAGCAGCTGTGGGGCGGGGAAAAGCGGGCTGGGGCTTAGAACGCTCGCTGGACTACGAGCAGGACTGACGAGTCCGCAACTTCTCACTGCCCGGCTCAGCCCAGCTCTGAGCCAAGGACTGGCCCTGGGCTCGAGTGCAGTTGGACTTCAGACGCTCTGCAAAGAGCAGAGACCTAGGACCCGGGAGCAGAGGACCAAGATCTGAGGCAGTTCCAGGAGCACCATGCCTCAGGCGGTCGAGGCCAAGATAACCAGCCAGACAACTGTCCAGGGAGGCCCGCCGGCTGCATCATCTGAGAGCACTGAAGCACAGTAGCCGGCCGAGTGAGTGTGTAGTCAGGCTCTATCCAATGCTTCCTGACCCTGAGACCCAACTCCAACCAAAATAAATTGAGCAGGCAACAGAAAGCCTCCATCTGAGTGCCATGCCAGCTGTGAAAAAAGAGCTCCTGGGCCGCAAGGACCTGGCCCTGGCTCTGGCTACCTTCCACCCGACCCTGACCTCACTGCCGCTGCCACCACTGCCCGCCTACTTGGCGCCACTGCCCGCTGCAGCAGCCCTGCCTTCGGCTGCCTCGCTGCCCGCCTCAGCCTCCAGCTATGAGACATTGCTAGCTCCATCACTCTGCCCCCCGCGCGCTTACCTTAACCTGCACGAGGCCGCGCCTCATCTCTACTTGCCCGGAGACCCGCTGGCCTTCCAGTGCTTCTCAGCGACAGCATCCGCGGCACCGGATTTCCAGCCGCTGATAGACAATGGTGAGCCATGTATCGAGGTGGAGTGCGGTGCTAATCGTGCACTGCTCTACGTACGCAAACTCTGCCAGGGCAGCAAGGGCCCGTCCATCCGCCACCGAGGCGAGTGGCTCACACCCAACGAGTTCCAGTTTGTCAGCGGCCGCGAGACGGCCAAGGATTGGAAGCGCAGCATCCGCCACAAAGGTGCGGCCGCGGTTGGGGCTCGAGCCGCCGCTGATCCCTCTCCTTCGATTACCCAGGTTCCTCCTTCTGCCACCTGGGACACCTAGCGTTAGTCTAGAGGGGGCGCTGCAACTCCAGGGCTAGCGTGGGGGATACCCCTCTCCTCCCAGCCACACCTGTCCACCCACCCACACACAGGCGACTTAGTGGACACACAGCCGAGGTCTCTCAGCCTCTCCGATCTCTTCAGCGCAGGCTAAGTGCGCTGGGGTTCCGGACTATCCACGAACCCGACAGATACCTAGCTCGGAAGGTCGGAGAGGCCTGAAGGCAGGGAAAGTTTACGAGAGAGGCCAAATGAGAGGGATGCCTCTTTTGCACAGGAGCCGAGCTAGCGGCTCGTGGCTTGATTGGTGGGGTGCACATCCGGCAAGGGTATGCTAGTGGAGTGCTCGCTAGTGGAGGCTATGTGGGCAGATGGAGGCAGCGGTACCTAACGACATTAGCGATACTGCCAACCGCAGCCTGTTTGGACTGTCCAAAGGTTCGGTGTGGAGGCTCGTGGGCCGGGTTCAATTAGAGCTGGAGCAGCGCCTGGAGTTAAAAAGTTAGGTTTAGGGGGGTCACGCCCCGCCCTCATGAGGCCAGCCTCTTCCTGCAAGGAAAAGAATGTAGAAGCAGGCCAGATCCTCTCCTCACCTCTTACCTCATCCTGGCCTCAACCTACCTAGCCCCTGCCAAGCTGGGTTCCTTTGGTACCAGCTTGAAGAGTGAAGAGGTTGGAGTGCTGAAAGAGGGCTCGGGGGTGGGGGGTGGAATTTGAGTTTCAAAGGCCCTATTTTTTCCAAGCAGCTACGGCAAGGGTGGGACAGAATTCTTGAACAACCGCAGATGTGAGAGATCATTGTAAATTTCATACACCTTGTGGGTAGAAGTGGGAGTCTGGCCTTGCGGCAGGGCAGACTATGCCCCTTAAAAACATGCTAATGCTACCTGCACCTGGCCTCTTTCTCACGTGTTCTGCTTGTTCTCTTGCAGGGAAAAGCCTGAAGACACTTATGTCTAAGGGGATCCTGCAAGTGCATCCCCCGATCTGCGATTGTCCAGGCTGTAGAATATCCTCGCCTGTGGTGAGATATGAGTTAAGCTGGAGTTTGTTGGGCGGAAGGGCTGGGTTTCTGCTTCAAAACTGGTGACTATGTTGTCTGGGACTGAGAATTCTAGCCTCAGCCCTGCTGATGTTCTGGAGGAACCTGGTTGAAAAGTAAATAGGCCAGTGGGTTACCTTGCACTCTCCCAGACTGTTCCTTAGAAAGAGAAGGGATCCCAGGTGCAGAAGCCCCTCCCAGGTTGATACAGGGTGAGTTGGGTGGTTTTCTGTTGTTGTTCGTTTGTTTATTCTGACATTTCTATTTTATGTGTATGTCTGTTTGGCAAGCATGTGGTACCTATGAAGCCAGTGTCTAGTTCCTATGAAGCCAGAAGAGGGCGTCAGAGACCCTGAAATTAAAATTAAGTATCAGGTATATAGGTGCCATTTGGATGCTTAGAAACAAACCCTGGTCCTCTGCAAGAGCAGCAAGTGCTCTTAAACCCGGAGTCTCCTCTCTCCGGTTCTTCTGCCTCCACCCTTGGAACCATTTCTACTCAGATCATAGCCTTGTTCCTGGATCATGTCATTCAACTTGGGCTTTGGGACTATCTTGGCCCAGATCTGGAGGTCACCAAATCACCTGACACACCTGGGAATGATGCTGATTGTGGGGTTATGTGCATTCTGAGATATGACTTGCTTTGACTGTGATCTGGAATGGCCCCAGGCTTGAGTATGAGCAAATTGTGTCTCTGGGATACTAAGTTGGAATCCTGGCCAGCATGGGCCTAAATTTCTGAATATCTTTAGAGAATAGCCTGGTCAGAGCAGAATCTTTGCTGTATAGGTATACAGTGAGCTAAAACTGGGAACTGGTTAGAGATTCCCACCAAAGGTAGACAATGTATTAAGTCCATGAAGAACAAGGGAGATTAGAGATCAAGCATGCATGCCCTTATGCGAGAAAGGTTTGAGGGATTCATTTAAAAAGATATTACCTCAAGAGAGCTACTAAGAGCACCTGGGGGAGGGCAATAAGGGTCTTGGTGCTGAACTTGTGCTGTACCTGGCTTCACACAGCATCCACTCTGCAGGAACAGAGTGAGGCAGAGATGCCCTGATAGGACTCAATTTACCACCTTAAGTTTGTTTCATTTGGGCTAGTGGTGGGGTATCTTTATGGGTTCCTTATAGGTCCTGAGGGGCATGTTCATGCATGTGGAGCAGGAAAAAGGGAGCCACATGCCTACCCCACCAGATCTAATACAGGCCAACAGCCTCAAGCTAACACACATACTAGGTTTACAAAACATGTAGGTGAATACAGACATCATTAGCTGCTGGGACCAGAGGCCAAAATCTCTTCTCTGCAGCACCTCACTAGGCTTTTAGGGCTTGGTTTTCTGTTTGGGTGGGAGGAGCCATGCTACTTACAAACCAATGCCTGTTGAGCACCCCCCAGAAGACTGGGGGACAAGTAGCCAGGTGCCTCCCTCGCTTCAAGTGGGAAATCTGCAGCTCTGAGAGGGATGGGACTACTGCTTATCTGGGGCTCCCAATCCCTACAATGCATGGGAGACAACTCAGACCAGAGGCCAACTTGCCAAAGCCTGATCCTTTCTTAGAGAAACCTTCCTACTTTTCCCACACTGTGGCTGTTTCCCTTATCCCACAAGTATGTATCAGTATCACAGATATTCCAGTAGTTGAATACAGTGTGCACATTAATCAGAATCTCTGATTCTGTGTGCTGGCCCACTGTATGAAGAGGGCCAGCTCTTGGCTAGGAGTCAAGTTTTCAGATCTGTTAAGCAGTAGGGCTGGCTAACATTTCCAGGACATAAGGGAAGCTATATTCTCAGTCCTTGCATATGATCAGGATGGCCATCAGGATCCTTGGTACCATTTCTCATAGGTCATCCTCCAAGGCACCACTCAAGATCCAACCTCTTATATTCTCAGAAGGGTAGGGTAGGTATGGGATGTATAGAAGGGGCATATAGGTCCCTGTGCCCAGCTGTGTATGTCATGGGGCTGAGGCTGGAAATAGACAGCTGGCTCTGGCTCCTTTCCAAGTAGCAGTCTCATAGCCCTTGAGTCCCTTTCTTCCCATTGTAGGGGAAGCAGAAATAGGTTTCTGTTTGTTTCTTATAGAGAAACAAACAAGAGCTCATAGAAATTATTCTCCAAGACTGTGGGATGACAGATGTCTGGTTCACAAGCCTGGCAAATATAGTGTCTGTAAGATAAATCCCAGGCATTATGGAATGGCTTTCCCATTTCAAAAGCCATTTTGCCTTCAATCTGCTTTTCTTAGAACAGTGAAGGACAAAAGACAGGTAGTTTTTTTTTTGTTTTTTTTTTTTAAGATTTATTTATTTATTTATTTATTATGTATACAATGTTGTGTTTTGCATGTACACCTGCACACCAGAAGAGGGCACCAGATTTCCTTATAGATGGTTGTGAGCCACCATGTGGTTGCTGGGAATTGAACTCAGGACCTATGGAAGAGCAGCCAGTGCTTTTAACCTCTGAGCCATCTCTCCAGCCCAACAGGTAGTTTTTAAAGAAGCCATAGAAATAATGCTCTTGTCCTGAGGCCAGCCCTCAGGCCATAGTGATTCACACCACTAACTTGGTACTACAGGGTCTATATCACCTACTCTGGCAAGTGCTTCAATGTAGGCTCTAGAAGACTCCTGGGGGCAGATGCAGCAGAGACTGTGGCTCCCAGGGCCCAGACTGGGACACTGTTTAGACCGAACCATGTGGAAGTGATAATCATTCTGTGTCTGAAAAGCCACCTCTGTATTGGAGGATATGACTATGGGTAGCAGCATAAATGGGTACTGGATGACTTAGAGACAGGACTGTCTCTTTCTGTAAAAGGAAGGTGAAAATGCCTTGAACACTGAGCATGGTGAGAATCTCTCCTGGCAATGACAAGGGGTGGGGATGTCAGAAGAGATCTTGTAGACTTAGATACTAGAAAAGGAGATGGAATTCGATCCCTTTTTTTTTTTTTTTTTTTGGTTTTTTGAGACAGGGTTTTTCTGTGTAGCTCTGGCTGTCCTGGAACTCACTCTGTAGATAAAGCTGGCCTAGAACTCAAAGAGATCCACCTGCCTCTGCCTCCCAACTGCTGGGATTATAAAGGCATGCACCACTACCACCTGACAGAATCTTAAGGCTTGCACCACTCAGACAGAGCCAGTGACCTGCTATTAAATAAGAAAAAGCCTCTTCTCACAACTAAAATAATAATAATAATAATAATAATAATAATAATAATAATAATAATAATCAGTGATTTCCTTCTTTCTCCTGAAAACAGAAAGACCTTAAGACACAGGAAGCATAGAGAAGGGCCTAGACCTGAAGCTGGAACATTCAGTTATGTGCTCAGCATGTGTTCACTGGCACATGTACCTGAGCTGAATACATGCTATGTATAGAGCATGTATATGAGATATGTACAGCATATCTTATGTACAGCATAAGAACCCACAGCTCTACATACTTATACCATGGATACAAGGGAGAGAAAGAAAAAGAGTCTTATAAAAATCTGTACCAATCAGGATAAACAGGACAAAGGGTCTGGTCTCTTCTTCAGGTGTCTCATAAACACTAGGCCTGCAGTTGGCAAGGGACCAGAAATTTAGGAAGCAACCAAGTCATCTAAGCTCCAGGCATAGGCTTGGGATTGTCCCTAAATTGGGCTCTGAATAGCACTAACAAAATGGAAAAAAAGGAATGTAGCTGGAAGGCAGAGCACTTGCCTAGCATGGCCAATATCTCAGGAAAAGGGGTGGGAGGAGAAAAATGACTGCTCATGATGTTTCTGTTTGTCAATGTTGACAATGGATAGAGAGAATGGAACTAGAACCCTGCCCCAGGTTTCATACAGATCCCAGCATATTCTAGAACCCATGAAGGGAACTGGGGTTGAGAGGCATCCTCTAGAATGTAAAAGGTGGGGTTTACCATATGTGGTAAGCCATCACTCAGCTTGAGCCTCAGAGAAGAATTGGACTGGAGCATGTGGGTCCCATACTACCATCCTCGTGAGCTGGTCTACAGCAATGTAACTTCTGCACCTTGGCCTAGGTCTTGGAGGCTGAGGGCCTGGCCTAACCTAACCCTCTTCTTCCTACTCTCTCAGAACCGGGGACGGCTAGCTGACAAGAGAACAGTCACTTTGCCCCCTACACATGCCCTAAAGAAAGAAAGAACCTCCAGTTTCTCAGCCAGCGATGGTGATAGTGATGGAATTGGCCCAGCCTGTGAGCAACAACCAGTCCTGAAGCAGGAGGATGATCCACACGTCCAAATCATGAAGAAAAGGTACTTGTTCCATAGCCAGGGCAAGAGGTTACTGTGTGGTTGGTGCATCGAAGTCAAGGATCTGTAAGCACTGTGAGGGGCAGGTACAAGCAGAAATCTTTCTTGAAATCTCATCCAGGCACTTCTGTGCAGGGGTCACTTTTAGGGAATGGGTTGGTAGCCATGGAAATTAGAGGCCTGCAGCAACCTGGGCTGATGTTCCAAGTCTTCTTCAGATGGCTGCTATGAGGTTTCTCCTGACTGAAGCAGCTCCAGCAACTAGGTTCAATACAATAAGCACAAGGTAGAGGAAGCCTGCAACAAGGCTACTTTGGGTGCCCAAAGTGAAGCGAAGTCAGGGCTGTTGTCCTCATTCATTTCTGGTAAATCCAGAAGCTAATTCTAGCCTGGCCAGTGGGAGATGAAGCACATTTAGCTTGGCATGGGGCACTGCCTCTTAGACATTGCCTTAACTAATAGTCCAGCAGGATGCTAGAAACAGATTCATGTACAATCTTCTGTCCAGGTGTATTCCTAGAGCCATGCTGACTCTCTGTTTTCCCCGTTTCAGAGTTCACACCCACTGGGATGTGAATATTTCCTTCAGAGAAACATCCTGCAGGTAGGAGTTTAAGCTTGTGAGACTATACACACATAACAGGCAGCAGGAAATTTTATTGCTTTGCTTCCCCTTGGGCCTGCTTATAAGTTCTATGCTGTCTGCCTTTTCTCCCCCTTTGCCTATGGACCCCTATCTTATTCATTATCCTAGCCAATATGAATCAATGTGACCTGAGTATCTGCCAGCTTTTCTATGTCTTTTTACGCAACTTGGAAGGTAGGTGGCATGATCCCACCTTAGTCAAGCATGCCAAGTAGCACAGGCAGGGGTTCTGAGCAGGGCACCTCTGGAGCCTGAGTATATACTGTCCCTGATGGGCCGGTCCATTTGTATTCATCTGCTCATAGACTGAAGCTGTAATATTCTCTGATTACCTTCCCAGATATGGACCTGGAGTTGAGAATGGTGATGTATGAGTAGTGTCTTGAAGGATATATGAGAATTCACTGGAGCAAAGTGTAATGGAAGTTTTAGTTTCTTTGAAAACTCAGTTATGTTATGTAAATATGTTTTTGTTTTAATCCCAAGTGTGGGATTTCAGTTTGAACTTTAGTTTGTCCACAGCTGTTAATTGTCTCATACGGGGTGTGGCTTTTGCCAGCTGATAAGGCCTACCTTGTGCTGCATGGAGAGGGGTTTGGTCTAGGCTCAGAAAATATGAATTTGAGAGCCCAGAAAGAATGGTATGGCATGTGGTGTTGGTGTGTGGCAGTTTGGAGCAGATAGATGGAGAGAAATGCTTCAGGGTGCAGCCTGGAGGAGACTGTTGGCTGCATTTGCTGTTGATGGAGATTGGTATAGAGCCCTAGCTCAACAGCCAGGAGAAGTAAAGGGTCTGTGGCCCATCCCCCCACTAATCTCTCTTCTACCTAGCATTGAGGGGGTTGGTGGAAGGGAGATAGAGGTCTAAACATCCCAAATAAAGCAGAGTTTAAAAAATGAATGCTACAGCAAAGAGTATCTGCCAAGTTAGAATGAGAGAAGAAGAAGAATTGGTTATGGACCAATCAGGGCTTGGTCCATAACATGTGGTAGGGTGCAGTAGGATGCATTGTGGCTTCAAGAACCCCACATCACAATGCTAAGAACATATTTAATGCATTTCAGCCATATATGTGTGGGATTTTTTCAGATATATATAAAATCAGCATAATTTTTTCAGTGAATGACCAAGCTATAGGAATAAGTTTTCAGAACTGGGTCAACATTGGGCCCATAGAACAAACTACCAAGGCAAAATGGAAGGTGAATGCCCCAAATTCAAGTCCTATTCTGATCAGGTATCACTCCATGAAATCATGCTGTCCAGTGCCTAGTGACTCTGATGTTACCAGGCTTTTCCAGATACAGGTCCAGGTAGATCTTACTTTCCTTCTGTGGGCCAGACTGTGTTCACAGAGAACAGACTTTCTACCCACTACCTGGAGTCTCTAGAAACTGGTTTACCTCCTAACCAAAAGGAGATCGCCATGGGAGCCACTCTGTAGGCTGTGCCTAGTCAGCCCACAACTCATTCATGCTGAGATAGCAATTCTCTCTGAAACCCCCACACTGATGAGGATGCAGGGGATGAGCCTCATGCCACTTAATCCTATAAAGTACTTACACCCCCACCTGCCCTCTGGGCATGTCATGCTAGAGTAGGGAGAACACCACATCTGGGCCCCTAGGCTGGGGCCCTCTAGGGTGTCTGCTGATGAAACTTATCTGCTTAGGTGCCAGCCCTGGATTAGCCCAGCTCCAGTCACCCTAGCCAGGGGCTGGGAGCTATTTAATGAGGTTTAGAGTTGCTTCCCAGGTCACTTCACAGACACTGTGTCAGAATCCGAGGCTTCTCTGTCACAGGTGGGCCATGGAGGGCTTATGCTGAATGTTGGGCACCACTGTTCCTGCCCTGGCTTTGGCTTCCTGTTTCTCCCTTCTCTACTGATGTGGGGGTGCTTACAGAACTGCAGGGTAAGGTATCCCCACTTACACATCTTCTCCTCTATGGGGCTCTGTGGATGAGGATTCAGCTGGCTCAGCAGGAAGGAGAAACACAGAAAACAGTTAAATGCTGTTACACCAAGCCAAAAGGGCCTGACTAGAAGTCCTGAGCCCAGCCATGGATGGTGTGTCACCCATACCTGCTGGTACTCTGCCAGGGAACATGAGTCTTGTCAGCTGTAGAGCTCTGGTCAAAACTTCAGTTTCCTTATTTAAAAGAACTAGGAACTAGGGAGTATTTGCCATGTGCTTGCTGTCAGAGCTGACAGTAGGTATGGCAGCTTGCCCTCTCTGCCAGCTGCCCTCAGAGGCAGGACAGGGCATACTTTTCTCTACAAAGAAGAATAGCTGGAGGGGCTGCCTTAGAACTGCAATTGGGTCTAAGTGCCAGGTCCTGGCTTCCCTTTGGTCTGTTTAGTGGGCAACGCACATGTATGCTGTCACTCTTCTCACACAGAGGTGTGTACCTGGCTTTGCATATTTGATGCAAACTGACCATGAGTCATGCCCCCTCATGCTGACAATGTGCCAGACTCCCAACCCAAGAGGCAGCTCATGGCCTGGCCTGTCTTGCTCTGCTGCAGCCAGGACAACGACCTCCCTACCCTTATATCCAGTGTACATCGAAGCCGTCACCTCGTTATGCCTGAGCATCCAAGCCACTGTGACTTCCAGAGAGGCAACGTGGAGATTGGCCTTGGACCTGGAGGTGAGGAATCTAAGAGATATCAAGGGTAGAGTGGGCCCTGGGGCAACTGCTATCCTGACTGAAGACAGCCAACTGTCTCTGATCAGCAGCTCTGGGACCTGAGCACTTTGGCTGGCAGCCAGAGGCCAGCAGAAGGGGGGGGGGGCGGTGAGGGGGGTGGTGAGGCTGGCTTTCCCCTGGGGCTACATGTGACAGTAATTGTGTTAATCTCAGCCAGCTGGGCAGACAGGGCTGCAGCAGAGGCTGCTCCATTATGCCTTTTGCTGAAGTGAGTTTAGAGTGACTGAGACCCACCACCCTATTCTCAAAGGGGCAGATATTATGTAAGCCTCTCCTAAACTCAAGAATTGCCCACCGCAGAATGGCAAAAACATGCTCACTCCTCCTTCCCACAGACTATGTGCAACCCTAGTTCTGCCTCCCTGGGGTCCTCTGGAAGCAACAGGAGTTCAGAAAAAGAAGCATCCTGGAGAGATAATGGCACTCCTCAGAAAAGCAGGCCATTAGACTTCAGTGAGACCATACCTGAGTTTCGGAGGCCTTGAGGGACCTTTCTGTCCTGGGCTCCTAGATGGGAATGTTTCTGATAGTGGCTACAATGCTTAGGCTACAAGACTGGGTGGGTGTGGTCCACGGAGTGGACATCCTTCTCAAAGCCCCATGTGCTTGAAAGGCTTTGAGGGCTGATAGGAGACTGCTTTTGGAACAGCTGGAACTTGATAGAGGCCCAGCTTGATGGGAACAGCTGAGCAAGCAGCTGATAAAATCTAATTGCTCCATTGATTGGGTAGAGCCAAGGGAATCTGTAATGGTTAAGATATTCTGAGGTTACGGGCCCCTCTCCCTGCTCCTGGACATGGAGAGAGACTTCCTTGGGTACATGTCTCTCTTTCTGTGTGTGTGTGTGTGTGTTGTGTGCGTTGTGTGCGAGCATGCACTTGAAAACTTCCAGTCAAGGCCATCATTATGCTTGTCATGTTTGTGTACTACACATACACATATCTCTGTGGTGTTTAGTCTTCTGTCTGGCTACTCCTCCCTTTTCACTGTATGCAGGGGTTCATACTGTGCATAACTTTGGGAGTGTGATTTGTGCCCAGGTTCATGTATGCATTCTCTTAAGGTCTTGTCCCTACTTCCTAAGGGTTTTCTTTCAGTCCTTGTAGGGTTCACTTCTCCACTGTGCTACTGCTTCCTGGACTGGAGAGGACTACAAACCTTGCAGCAGGCTTTACGACTTTGTGCACCTTCCTATTACACCTCAGGCAGTTCATTTGCTATTAGTGGCACCCTAGTGTGCTAGAAGTGAATGTGGCTTCATTAAGTCTGCCACAGGACTGGTTCTTACTTGAGGTGCCTCTACTCCACCAGGCTGTTACCTGAACTCCAGGAATAGAAAGATTCTGTCTGTCTGTCTGTCTGAGTTTGTTAAAGTAGGAACAGACTGCTGTGAAAAGAGCCCTTGCCTAATCCTTAAGGGATATGTGGGTTGGGACAAGAACAGGTACAGAGGTGAGTGAGGCCAGGCCACACAGACCTAAGAGACTCTACTCCCTGCCTAGATCAGCAGCTGCCCCTCCTGCCCATTGGTCTCTAATATGCTACTGGTAGCCCCAAGTGCAGTCAGATACTCTTCATCTGTTCACTGGATCCATCTGCCTTGAGATATTATGGGTAGAATTCTTGTCCAGAGAGTGGATGCTCTCTCTCTTTGGGGCAGAGGCTGAGATAGCCAGCTAGACCAACAGCAGTGAGGTAGTTCAGATCAATAAGTTATTAGCACCATTCTGTCAGCCATAATGTGGAAATTGATCACATTTTGGCTGCCACACTTCCCCAGTCTGATAAAAATGACAGAGTAAGGAAATGTTTTAAAAATGAAATTCAGCTCTGGTGCTGGTGGTAGAGCTCTGCAGGAGGTTGGGCACACATACGGAAGCAGAGCTTGCTGAGCATCATGGAGATTTTGGACTGCCTAAGGAATTGTTCCTCCATACTCCAATAACTGGTAAGGATAAGGAAGGCAGAGACGGCAAATTTAACCCAGACTTGATGGTGTGGGCTGTTCAGCAAAAACCCTAGTATCAGGCCAGGAGCTCAGGAGGAAGCTGGGCAGCAGTGTTTAGGCTGGTCTGGAATTGGGTCAACTAATGCCTAAGGTTTGGCATTTTGAGGTATGATCTCTGTGTCCTACAGGGATATGTCCTACAGGAAACAAAGGCTGGGTCTGGCCTCATACAGGCATAGCACATACAAGCTTTGCACTGTGGGGTGAGTTGTTCAGGAGTTCCTCAAGAGCCCAGAGCCTGGATATGCAGGTGGACAGATACTTCCAAGGAGAGAGACAAGGACTTCCTTTCTATGTTACAAGTGTAGCAGAGAAGTTACTTGGGGAAGAACTGGCAGCAGGGCTGTGAAGACAGAGAATGAAGTAGGCTGGGATCTGAAGTATGCTTTCTGGACTTGCCTCCCCCATACCTGCACAACAGCCAACCCTATCCTAGGTGGCCAAGACAGGCCACTCAGTTCCCCCAAGGAGGGGCTGAGGAAGCACAGTCCCTTACAGGAGACTGCCTGATGAAAACTGGCATGAACTTCTCATTACTTCTGTTTACATGTCCAGGGCCAGCATTAGGATTGCTTTGTGTCCTTGCTGTACTCCACATCCACCTGTCAGTGTTTTCTGGCCTGGGACGCCAGGTTGGGCAAAGGTCTTAACTGCCAAGGAGAATATGGTGATGGTTGGGTTTCCGAGCTGAGCTAAGGCAGAGGTGGCCTTCCCTCCAAGCTATGAGGCACTGGATGGGGCTCACTCTCTCCTCTACAGGTGACCTGTTGGGCAAGAGGCTGGGCTGCTCCTCCTACATTACCAACAACTGTTCTTCAGAGAAAAAGGCCCGAAGCAAGTCCCCCCAAGGTGAAAGCCTGACCCAGGAAAGGGAGGCAGGTCACAGGAAAGGGGAGGGAGCAATGAACTCCTGCATCCTGAAGGGTTTCCCAGACCTTGGGTGGAAAACATAAGAGAGGAGGCCTTGATTTTTCTCCCTGGCACTATCTGAAGAAGCCCTCCCCATGTGCTGCTTCCAACAGAGACTCTGCTGCTTCCAGAGCTGGAATCTACAATGGCACCTGAGGACCACTACCATCGGCTCATGTCAGCCCTGTGTGAGGCTGGCCCCTTTGAGGAAACTCAACGTCTCTACCACTTGGGTATCCCCAGTCATGGTATGTAGCACCGCCCCTCCCCCACTACTCCAACCTCAAATGTGCCAACCCTCTGTTACCTTTCCATCCTGGGTACTAAGCTTACCCCAAGAAAAGGATCTAAATATTTGGAGGTCAACACCAAGACCAGTACTGAATACATTGGAAGGCCTCCCGATAGAGATATAGCCTAGCTGCCTCACTAAGGTTCATCCTTGAGAGCCTAGGTGAGACTGGGACATAAGAGTTTGTTCACCTGCTGTTGAGATGTAGGTTTTGTGGCCTATGCTAGGTTCTCCTCACTACCAGACCAGTCAGTGTAATGCTATGAATCTGTGGTTGTGTCGATATTGTGTCAGACCTTTACAAGCTGTTTTTGTTGTTGTCTGGGGAGGGGGTCATGGCAGGCAGGTAGCTCAGAAAGAGGAAGCTGTGTCACAGGTGGAATGTGGCCACTATGGCCCTGGTTGCTTGAGAGAAGCCAGGCCTTGCTATTTAAGAATAAGATAACCTGTGCAGCTGCAGTACGGGGGAATCTGGTCTTTTCTGGGAGTGGCTGGGGGCTTAGAGAAGGGAGTAGGATTTCAGATTCTTGCAGAAGGCACGGTTCCCCAGGGCAGCTCAGCACCAAGAGCCTGAATAATTCACTAAATGTTAATAATTTAAAAATCTTTCTTTTTAATTGCTTTCCTAGCTCTGCTAGCCTGTGCAGGAGAGGCTGTACAGGCAAGCTGGTTGTCAATCACCATTGCACAGAGCATGACTGGGGTGGGGTAAGCTAGGCTTATTGGGCTCTGAGGCTGACTTCAAGCCCTGGCTAGACACACCTCTCCGTTTCAGGTAATTAATTTGTAATGAGGCAGCAGTGGAGTGGTAGAGAAGTGGAGCTTGAGCTAGGGGGACTAAAGGGGTGCAATGGGGCACATATCACAGCCATGTGAACATGCATTACTGCCATTTAATGGTGTCTGTTATTGCAACCATGTGTGCTATGTATTGCTTTATGAGAGTGACACATTCTCCCCAGATATTCTTCCCTCCTGTCTAGAAAGGAGTAACCTGGGCAGCCTTCTGTTTGAGATAGCCTCCTAACCCCATGGAGTCTTGTCCCACTAACCTACTGGAACAGCCCTATGCCCTTACATGCTGACCTTTTCGCACGGCCAATCCTTTGGTCTCCATTATATCGGCACAAATACTCAAAACACCATGTTCTCTACCTTGGAGCCCTTCTCTCCTAGCCCATATTAGTTAACTGACCTACTGCCTAGCTGCACCCTTTAGGTCCTATTTCAAACTGCCTTCCCTGCTGCTCCTCCAGTCCCAGTGACACAAAACAGGGCTCAAGACATGTGAAAGTCTCCTCCCATTCTGTTCACTAGGTCAATGCCCTGCTCACCAAGATAGAAAGGGAAAATCCTAGGGGAGCTTAGCATCTGGGTCACTGCTGTTGCCTCCCTTCCCAGATATGCTAAGGGTACGGCAGGAAGTGGCAACAGCCACTTTGAGGAATCCCAACAGCTTGGAAGTACACCTGCCCTCATCTACAGCAGTCCACCGACGGAAGCAAGGCCTTGTTCAGCACCGGGAGGGAACAGTTCCAGCTGCTACCCCATCCTTCTCTGAAAGGTACTAAAGACAGTGTTTCAGTAAGGCCCCATATTCTCTGTGCTTGTTACCTGAGGTCAAGTCCATATCCTGGACTATCCCTTGAATCCCATTACATCTGTGGGAACATGAATTCACCATATTCAAGGTCTACTACAGGAGGCTACTAAAACAACCTGTGCTGAGGAAAGACCCAAGAAAACATTTCTGGGACAGAATATGCAGAAATGCCAAGGGCCACTCCAGTTTTCTTGTTGTGCAGCTCTACTACCTCAGACTAGTAAATGTGCCTTGAGATAGCAGAGGCCCTTCCCTCACAGGTAGTAGTGGTGTGTTGAGAAAGGCAAAAGTAAGCTACTTACCATCTGTAATTTCCACCCAAAAATGGGTCAGCCAGAGCATTTGGAGTTGAAGGCACAGTGGACTTCCCCCACCTCCCCCTCAATTCCAGAGACATCAGAGCTGTTCACAGTGCAGACTGTCTCCACGGGCGACTAGTGAAGCCAGGGAAAACGCTGGTCAGGGTCCCAGGTTTCCTAAACACACCCCATCCCATCCTAACCAGCCACAGATTGCAGCAACTGCAGCTGCCTGCCATCTCCAGATTATGGCTGATTACCCTGTTGTGTGCCCCTCCCCATGCTGCTCAGGATGAGAGGCCCCCCCTGCCCCAGTAATTACCATTGCAGCTGCCTCCGCCTACAGGGTCTGCACCTCTGCGCTGACAGGGAGATTAATTGGTGCTGCCAGCTTGGATAGGGGTAGTACACAACCAGAAGCCATAACTAGTGACTCAATGACTGCCTTTGGGGTCAGCAATTAGTGGCAGCAGGGGGTGCACCCAGAGGCCAGAAAAGGGGGTTGGTATACAGATGGAACCAGGTATGTGCTCACTATTCTGTTCACAGGGAACTGTCACAGCCACCCCCTTTGCTGTCGCCCCAGAATGCTCCCCATATTGCCCTGGGCGCCCATCTCCGGCCTCCTCTTCTGGGGGTACCCACAGCTCTCTGTCAGACCCCAGGTAAGAAACAGTTGGGTATATAAACCCTTTGTATCCCTGTAGAGCCCTCTTTAGGTGCAGAAGGTCCAACATGAATGGCCTGTTCTGTTCTAGGTTACAGCTTCCTGGCTCCTGCCCAAACTGAGATGTTAGCCCGGCAGCAGGAGCTTCTACGGAAGCAGAACTTGGCTCGGTAAGTACCTGGAAGACCAGTGAGAGTAGTTTTAAGTATGCCCACACTGACTCCATCTGTCCTTTTGGTCCAGGTTGGAGATGTCCGAGTTGCTTAGGCAAAAAGAACTGGGCAGTGCTCACCGCCCACAGCTACTGGCGCCAGAGGTAGCCCTGCATATTCCTGAGGGTCCTGATGAGCTCCAGCGACGTGGCTCCATGCTGGTTTTGAAACACAGCTCAGCACCACTACTGGCCCTGCCATCCAAGGGACCCCCAACCCCATCCAAGGAGTCTGCCCGAAGCCGATCCCAAAAGGGGAGTCTTGGTGCTGCCTCAGCCCGGCCCAATGAACCTAATGAGACTGCCCTCTGGGCTCAAGATGTCTCTGAGGAACCATACAAGGACTCAGATGGAGACGACCCTGAGATAGCAGCTGCCAGGGTCGGGGCCTCTACTCCCAGCCAAGTCCCATCAGGAGGGACCAGAGCAGAAGGAAAGGGGCTTCTCTCAGGGTCCACACTGACCTCTCCACTGCCCCTGGGATTCCCCTGTGGGGCAGCCAGCCCCTACTTCCGCACAGGTGGGCAACCCTAGCTACCCATTGATAGATAGGGGGTTCCATGAGGAGAAAAATCCTTTGTCACTGAGCCAAGGGCTTTAACCAATTGAGAAAGGTCAGCCCATAGGGAAGGAGGCATAGGAATGGAAAAGCCTAAGCCCTAGTGACATCCTTTCTATCTCCAGGCACCATGGGGGGACTCTTCACTGATGAGGGGACCATAGCCCCTGACGACGTCAACAAGTGGACTGTAGATGATGTCTGCAACTTCGTGGGGGGCCTTTCTGGCTGTGGCGAGTATGCCAGGGTGAGGGGAGTGGCAGGTCTCTGGGGCTAGGCCAGGAGGCCCAGTTCTGGGCAATGTCCCAGTCTCCACGCCCAACAAAAAGGGACTTTCTGTTTGCTATTTCTCTATGCAAGACCTAAAACTCTACTCTATGGACCTACCTTGTCCCCAGGTATTTAGAGAACAAGGAATAGATGGAGAAACTTTGCCTCTCCTGACAGAAGAGCACCTTCTAAATACCATGGGATTGAAGCTAGGGCCTGCTCTCAAGATCAGAGCACAAGTAAGTACGACCAGTGCCTTCATCAATCTAAAGAGGGCATAAGGACTCTCTGTGACTGGAAATGGTCTCCCAGGCCCCTCTACCCAGCAGGTAGTCACCCAGCTTCATCTCTTTGTAGGTAGCCAAGCGCCTGGGCCGTGTCTTCTACATGGCCAGCTTCCCTGTGGCCCTGCCTCTACAGCCGCCAAGCCTTCAAGCACCTGAGCTCAGCCCAGGACAGCAACCCCTGTCCCCAGCAACCACCACCTCCCCATATGAGGGGGCCCACTTATCCACAGGCCGAGCCTCACCCAAACAGGAGAATGGGTCAGGGACCATAGCTTTGCTCCCAGGGGACCCAGATACTTCCCAGCTTCTCTAACCATCATACTCTCTGATACCCATGAAACTGACCACCCCCAGGGTATTTTTCCTTTTGATTTTAGATGCAAAAACACCAAGAATATTTTTTTTTAATGTGGCTTAAGAAGAAAGTAATGTATTTACCTTCTAGGTGTAACTGCAGAGGTCTGCAAACAAACCAAAGACAGACAAAGTGGACAGGCCATGAAGCCACCCTCCCCACTCTGAACTGGGACTACTCTGCAGGTCAGGGTCAGCCTCCTACTTGGGCAGCAGAAGGCTCTGCAGAGCCAGGTGACCTTTCAGGGTCAAAACAACTCTCAGTACACTTGTTCTGTTGTGCTGTAACAATAAAGCCCTATCTACTGTCTACTGCCCTCTTGCTGCACAATTGTTGGCCTTAAGGCCTCCAGGACCTGGCAGGAGGCCCTCAGTCCTCTTCTGAGAGCTGAAGATCCTCCAGCTCATCTTGTGGTCCCTGAGTCAGCTGCCACAGTTCACTTGGGTCCACCCCTGTGTCCAGGTCTCCATCTACAGAGAAAGAAAAGGCCACATACATTCTGCTATATCATAAAGAAGCCAGTCTTAGAGGTTATTTACTTATCACTAATTAATCACAGCATTAATTAAACTTATCAGTGGGCTAGCTGGCTGCCTGAGAGCACAGAGCAGCTGGTCTGGTACCCCAGGGAGGGACTTGGGCCTGGCTTAGAGATGTCTTCCCATGGCCCCATCTCCAAGGTCAGTCTATTTCACAACAGACACCATTTACCCTCTGAATTGCTGGTGGCCTCTTCTTCCTCCTGGTCTTCCTCTTTCCTTCCTTGATGAGCACCCAGGAGCTCAGGTACTCCTACAGATGAAGAACCATGTGTACCACACAGACACACACATTTCCCATGTCCAACAGCAAGGCAATATGAACAGTTATACAGGAGGTTTGGCTAGCCCTGTAACCCTGTGTGGACACCCACCATGGCCACAGGTCTCAGCAGTGGCAAGGTTAGACCTTTCTGCCATGTATATGGAGGCCTCAACATGGCGACAATTACCAATAGTGAGTCCCCAGCTCAAACTGAAGGAGCGAGCCAATGAGTGGTAAAAGAAAGAACTAGAGGCCAGAGAGACAGTTCAGTGGTTTAAGGACCTGGGTTTGACTTCCAGTACCCACAGGTCTCAAGGGATCCAAGACTCTCTTCTGACCTCTGTGGGACATTAGGCACACAGGTGGTATAAACATACATGTAAGCAAAACACATATAAAAGTTAAAAACAACAACTAACAGGTCTGCCCACAGACATGAAACACACACACAGCTTATAACCATTCCCACCTCAGGCCTCACCTCTCTCAAAGAAGTCTGTGCTGTCCTCTCCCTCAGAACTGTCCAATTCAAACAGGTCTTTTAATTCCTTCCTGTCTTCATCCTTCCTGTCTTCCACTTTCCTCCTTTTGATCTCTGGGAAGTTCAGGTCTTCTAGCTTCAAAGACCAGAAAGAGAAAAACAGATAGAGGGAGAGGCCAAGAGAACTGAGTAGAGTTTAGCCCAGCCTCACTTTAGGTACTACCTATAGCCATACATGGGACAAGGTGCCCTGAAGACAAACAGCAATTTACAGGCTTCACTCAAACTCACTGTCCCATTCTTTTTTTTCCCCTACTGCTTTTGTTTCCTTTTCCAATTGCACTCCCACAGCCCAGCCCCTTTCACAAGTAACCTGCTTGGCCATTTTTACTAGGCCACCTCCCCAGACCCCAGACATACCCGCTCTTTGCCACTGATCTCCAGCTGGATCTCACGGTCCCTCAGCTTCTTCCAGTGGCTGTAGTACCTGGTAAGAGGGGTCCCCTCTTCACGGGCCTGCTTCTCCCAAGCATCCTAAGGATTAGGTAAATTCAGGACCATGCTCACTGCTCACCCTGGAAAACTCTTAAATAACTACCACACCCTAACTGGTGGCGTCAGGCAGCATCAGTCCAGCCCAGATGCCAAATCCCAACCCACCACTGCCAGCTGGTCAGACACACTGAAGGTCACTTTCTGGCGAAGGTTTCGGATATATTCTGCGTTCTCTTGCACCTTCTCTAGCAGCTGGCGCATTTGCCGGCAGTAGTTAGCCACTTTGCACTCCCGGAGAAAAGATTTCAGCTGCAGAAAGGAAAACTCGGTTCAGCCCAGCGACAGGACTATTCCCCATTCCACAGGGGATCCAGGCAATAAAAAGCCACATGGCAAACACGGGAGATACAAGGGCCTGCTATCAACTTCTTAATTAGGTCTCACAGGCATAAGGTCTTGCTCCTTTACTCATGTGCCTCTCTGAGTGCTATTGCAACAGCCTTGAGAGGTAAGCAGATGAAGACTTGCAAGAAGCCACAAAACATTAAACTTTTTTTTTTATCTTAACTGAAACATACCTGCTAACTCCTATTCTAGATTCACACATCCATATACCTAGGACCTTGAGCCCAAAACTAAATGTGTCTTAACTACTTGACATCATCAGCCAAGAGGACGTCGGGGGAGGGCAATGCCACATTATACAACAAACAGTGACGGAGCACATGTGCACAGCTGTGCATACAACTTCTGCCTTCACACATATACCTGTCTCTATATGAGCCTGACCCAGGTATAGCTCAGGTATGAGCAGCACCCCCTACCCCACAAGCCTGTGAGTAATGGAGCTAATCCCCTACCAGTACCAGACAGGGATAGCAATAGGCCCCTCTACAAGAGGAAGACAAACCTACTAAAATATTGTCCAAGTTAGCCACAAAGAGGATGTGAAGGTCTGGCCAAGTGTTGAGCACACATACCTGTAGGACAGTGGGCAGCACCAACTCTGGAAAAGCAATGCTATGGGCCTGGCTGTGCAGGTATTCCAGGAGAAGGTCATACAGCTGCTCCAGCAGACCATCCTGAGGGAGCAGGCCCAGCTTTATCAGATGATGAAACCCAGGAGCCCATGATCTCATAATTCACCCTGACTTTGTTCAAACTCAGGCTATAAAACAGTACCCACAGCCTCCCCCAAGCCACACCCAGCTTCACAAGGCCTGAGATTAAGGAGCTATTGGTCTATGACTACAGAAACCTCAATCTCAGTACTTGAGAGGTGGATCTCTGAGAGTTCAAGGCCAGCCTGATCTACATAGCAAGTTCCAGGATAGCCAGGGCTACATAATATAGAGATCCTGTCACAAAAGAAACCACAAATGTTGTACAATGGTAATCCCTCCTTTGTATCTCAACAGTCTCTGAAGTCCTTGTAAGCCAACTAAAACAGGCCCAGGCCTTTTCCAGAAGGCCTTGAGGCCAGCCTCACCCGGTAGGCCTTCTCCTGCAGGTTGGTGCTGGACAGTTTCAAGATGACAGAGAAGTTGATAGGCCTGGAGCTCATGCGGCCTGGTCGCCTATTGAAGTCCACCTGCTGGAAAATCTACACACAAGAGTGTCAGCCCAACCCAATGAGATCCCTCAAGACCAGGCTAAACAAAGCCCACAGATGTCTCCAGACCTTGTTCACCTTCCAGAGCCTAGACAGGCAACCGTGAGGACTCCTGTATACACTTAACCACCTTTGGGGATAACGGTTATATAGGCCTGGGCCTCAAACAACTGCATCCCAGGCACTGTGGGTATAACCAGCAACAAAGAAATACAGAAAAGAGACAGGTCTCAGGGGACTGTGTTCCCCAAAACTCAGTAGTCTTTGCAGGCTATGCACTTTGGCCTTCCCAAGAAAAGATGGGAGTATGAGCCTAGCCGAGCCTCTTGGTACAAGGATGCCTCCCCGAGTATAGAGAAAGCCCCTGACAAGAGAGCTCATGTAGTAGCATAGCATGTTGTTGGCAGCTGAAGCAGCTATAACAACTAATGAAAAATTGGGAGTGGAGAATGTTCTTTCTCTAGCTGAGCAAAGGATGCCAACTAGTATATAGAGCTGATCTCAATAATTTACTCTTAATTACTACCCATAAATTAAAGAAAGGGCAGTGACACCCTGTCGGCAGAGCTTGGTTTCAACCCTTGTGGTTCACTTTCTCAGGAAACCTGCACCTGATATGAAGAGCCTAAGGTCAGGTACAGTGAACCAAGATGGAGGTCAGAATGAGGGCTATGTTGGGAGTGGTGGCACAGACCTATAATCCCAGCACTCAGGTAGACAGAGGCAGGCAGATCTCTGTTGAGTTTGAGGCCAGCCTGGTCTACAAAGTGAGTCCAGGACAGCCAAAGTTACACAGAGAAACCCTGTCTTGAAAAACAAAGAATGCGGGTTACCCAGGAAAACAGGCAATGTGTCATAATAAGTGTAAGACATGGAGAGACTATGTGTAGAAGATCTGCAATGACCGCAAAGACCACAATGTTACAGTCAAAAATCACCACTGGCAGACAAAGAGAAGGAGACGTGGTTTCCAAAAGACATTTGTAAGTCTACCCCAAGTTGTGCTTAGCACAGTCACCTCAAGAATGAAGGGCAGAACAGGGATGAAGGTGCCGGCGGTCTGGGACAGGAGTGTCAGGGCACGCACACAATGCATGCGCAATGGATAAAATCGGGCGGTGGGCAACAACCTGGGTAAGGAAGGAGCAGAACCTAATTAGCATCCCCAAATGTAAGCATCAGCTATCCACTGCCTCTGACTCCTCCCCATTCACATGCTCTAACTACAGGTGGGTCCTACAGGGTGAATACTCACAGCAACCATGGGGAATAATAATTTAATAGTCATCAAATTCAACAAGGCACAACAAAATGCATGGACTTGGGTACTGCCCTGCTGCTCAACTGAGGGACTGAAAGACACTCATCTGGCTTTAACTTAGTTTCCTTTACTCCTGCCTCCTTTCTTCTTCACTCCGCTTTCTTTTCTTACCACCTGCCCCTTTCCCTTCCTAGCCTAGTCTTTAGTTTAAGAAAACTCAAGAAGACACAGAGGCCCCCTCCTGGCCAGAGAAGTGTACAGCACATTCACAGCATACCAAAAGCACTAAGAACTATATCTGAATGCCCTTTACCTGTATAAGGGCCCAAGCAGGCCTCATAACAAATGGGTGTTAAATTGTAGGCAGCTAACCTACTTACCTCACTAAAGGCTGCCTCCAAAGCCCAGCTAGCTAAAATCTACAACCAATCCATCTTCTCAGGCCCTTCCTCAGAAACCACTAAAACCCAGACACAAAAGCTCTTATATCTAAGGTATGGCCACACAAGAAAATTCTCAGGGATAGGGTTAGAGGTTGGTTTTCCAAAAGAGGGTTTCTCTGTGTAGCCTTGGCTGTTCTGGACTTGCTTGTAGACCAGGCTGGCCTCACACTCACAGAAATCTGCCTGTCTCTGCCTCCCTGAGTGCTGGGATTAAAGGTGTGCACCATGGTGCCCGGCACTAAGTTCTTTGCATAATATAGCTCACAGAAGCTAGCAGACTAGAAACCTCTGCCCTATCTTGAGGAATCTGCTGGCCCCAACCCACAGGATAATCTAACATAGCCATATCCTTGAACTCACTTGATGCAGCCAATGATGATCTGTGAAAGAGGGTAGAGTAGAGGCTGCAGGACCTCGCTGGAACCAAGGGTACTCAGGACTCGGCACCATAAGTAGAGGCAGTGCACATACTGCCAGTTGTACACAGACTGGTATGTCTCCTGGTGAGAGTGGAGTCCACTTCTAAGGGTCAATTCTTCCCAGCCAGAATCACCCAAAACCTCTCCTCAGAGTGCTAAGCACTCTCCCCCATAGAAAGTGGCTTGCAGCATGCCCTAAAACCCTGGGTGGGGCTACTACCTTGGAAGGGTCAGATCATGTACCTTTTTGCCTGTGGTCATGGCATTACGCAGGTGGACTGCAAGCTGGCGGATGTAGAGGAAAGCATGTTGATAGGAGACACTGGGGTCCAAGGCAAGCAGTTCCGTCAGTGTCCGTTGCATGAAGCTTATGAGGGGGAGGGTACTAGGAGAGGTGAACTTGCAGTTTCTCACATACATGATGTACATTTGCTGAGAGACAAACCAAAGTTAAGAACCATTTAAGCAACCACTGTTCAGTTCCAAGCCACTTGCCAACACTTAGGACCTTCCACCAGAACTGCTGTCCCAAACTCAGCTGCAGACTCATTTCCTGTATGGTTGCCAGCACTCCAGGACTCTGATGTTTCCCAGCCTACACACTTGCACCCACCAGACTCAGGCATATAAGACATTTAGAAGAGAGGAAAATGTATAATAAGAGAGGGTAAGCTGAAAAATAGTCAAGAACAGGACTAAAGTCCTAGAAAGGAAGTAGAGGAGATGCTCTGCTTCATGCTGAGTCTGTACAGTGGGACTCCAGGGGATGCTCATGTGCAGGAGAGCCACCCCAGGCTTGGAGCTGGACAACAGGGTCTGATCCTTAGGGGAGAAGAGGGTCCCCTCCCCCAATACCCAGAAGACTACGGATTCCCGTTCCCATCACCACCCTATTTTCTTGGTAAGAAAACTGTGACCAGAGTTTGATGTCCAGTCCCAGTAAGGACCATCAGCCACAAAATCTGCCAGGCGCTCAGGATGATTCCCAGCACAGATTTTAATGAGCAAGATAGAAGACCCATAATACCTTTAGAATGGGACCTAGGAAAGATTCCTTCTTGTGACGGCAGACTCTAATGAGTACCAGGAAGGCCAGGACACGCAGAGATTCTTCACCTGTACTCCACAGAACCACCATCCTCTAAAAAGAGATACATTACTGCCTTTCCTGGCGTAGGACCCTCCATGGCTAGCTGGCATACCTCAGTGGAGCCTATACTCACATTACTAAGCTATGCTGCCCAGAAAGGACTGGGAGCTACCTGAGACTGGGACCCTTGGTGGGATGGAGGACACAGCAGGAGAGGAGCAACTACAGGCACAAATGCTACCTCTGCCCTAGCTAGAAGGACAAGAAAGATAGTCATATGCATCTCTAGCTACAGAAACACAGCAGGATGAGCTAACATACCTTGAGCAACATTCGGCACTGCTTAGGGAAAGTCAGGTAATAAGGAACCAAGCTACTGACATGTTGCAGGACAGCTGCAGACACTGTGGCTTCAGCTAGAGAGGCAACCAGCTGAAGAAGCAAAAGAGAACAATGAGGCCTAAACTCATTCTGGTGTATGAGAGAGAACCAGACACCAGATGTGACCATTCTCTTGGGATTCTTTACCCACCAGAACAGTACCTGAACAACTGCACTTAGGTATGTCTTGACATCTGCACGGAGCTTCCCCCACAGTGGGCTACTGGATGGCAGCAGTATCCTGTAGGGAATATATCCACCTCATTCCTGCAATCAAGACACAAGTCTACCCAGGCTTGTATCCCATATATAAAAGCTGAGGGGCTCCTTATAGCTGGTAGATGGAGAGACTTACCAGGACTTTCTTAAGCATGGCCAGACTGACAGCCACAAGAAACCAACACCCAAACCTTGCATAGGCCATCAACTTGGCCAGAATTCAGAACTGCCCTGTAAAATCCTAAACTATCTTCCCCAAGACCCTCTCAGATACATTCCTCTTCTGAGTCCCTGTAGCCCTATAGCTACCACCACAAGCATCCAAACTCATAGTCAGCATTCAAGACCTATGGGACCTAACCAGCTACACTTTGCTGCTGCAGACTGTATGTCTTAGACCTACACATGACACACACCATAAAGAATGGCTGGGGGGAGGCACACAACTTTAATCCCAGCACTCGGGAAGCAGAGGCATGCAGATCTCTGTAAGTTCGAGGCTAGCCTGGTCTACAAATAGAGTCTAGGACAGCAGTGCTACACAGAGAAACCCTCTCTCAGGGAAAAATATATATATATAAATGAAATTTTAAAAAGAATATGCTTATATACTTAATTTCACCTAAAATTCCAGAACCTTAACTGCTAAATAACTGAACAGCTGGCACAACAACTAATTCCTTGTGAGTTTTACACCTTATTCCTCAGTGTCCAAGTACTTAACACACAGTAGATATTTACCAAAATCTACTGAACTATACCAAGGACAAAAAAACAGGGCCCACTGAAGACACCCCACTGTCTAACCTTCCTTGTATCTAAACCAACACCATCCCATCTATGGGATACCCCAAGCATCTTATCTAATTTAGGAGGCAACCCTGTTTCTAAAATGTCACTTTTCCATTCATGTTAACAGCTCCCCAAAGTCTGGATGCAGTAGCTACTGACAACCACTTGGGCTTCTGTCCAATCATCTGGCTTATTCTCTACTCTTTCCATCTGTTGGTCTCCCTGCAGCTTCTTTCTGTTCTGCCTCCACATAGACACATCCTGTCAATCCACCAACCAAGTGGCACCATCGCTCCAGGTTTTGTTCTTCTATACCTTCTACCTTAAGACACATGGGTATGTCCACTCTCAGCCCCACCATGACCCCTTCTATTTATTAGCTGTTCTCTGTGCTTCCTTAAGACCTTCTGTGACCTCCTCTACCCCATCAGTGGCAAAACCCCGACCCATCCCCTCACCTGCTGCTATCCTTTAGTGTCTTTCCAAACAATAGCTTCTGAAGGCAACCAAAGAGGTCTCTAATGCAGAAAGTAACCAGAGCATTGAACACTGTAGGGAACAAAAGTGTCATTCAGCCATATAAGGAACACAGGTGTCACAATGAAGCCTGGCCTAGGTCCCCTGCCCCCAGCTCACCAGCACTATCTGTGACCTGGAACCTGCAAGTCTCAGCAGCTTCCTGGTCTCCTTGCGTGGTGGCTACAGCTGCTCGGAATGCCTGCACAACTTCATGGAACAGCTTGGGAGTAAGGTGGTGCTGAAGGGACAAGAGATCAAGATTACTAGGAGAGCAGTACACAATACCTGGTTCCAGGAACCTGCTCCAAGTTGAAAAGGTGTTCCTAACCCATAATCTTAGGCCCAGAGCAATAGTGGAGCTAAGATCACTGAACCATGAGCCAACAACAAAAAGGTATTGAGCCTATAAACCCACTTGGATAGGCAGAGCCTGTCTCAGGATTCCCAGGAGGAAGGGGTGAGCAACCTGTATTAAAAACTGTTCGAGAAAGTATATAGGACCCTTTCCTTCCTTCCTTTTTTTTTCAAGACAGAGTTTCTCTGTGTAGCCTTGGCTGTTCTGGATTCATTTTGTGGACCAGGCTGGTTTTGAACTCACAGAGATACAACTGCCTCTACCTTCCCAGTGCTGGGATTACATTGTGCCACCGCGCCCAGCTGGAATTCTCCCTTTTTACTCCCCTCCCTAGAGAAACCAATGCGACATCTACACATGGTTGCTGATGTCTATAATGCCAGCACTAGGAAAGTAAAGGCAAAACTGCAGCAAGTTTTGAGGACAAACTGCTCAAAACAGAGTTCAAAGTCAGCCACTAGGGTGATCTCCTGTTGTAAAAAAATCCCAAAAGCTCTAAATTAAATGTAAACTTACTGAAAGGACATTGACTTCATTTCCTACTTCCCAGTGAACAAATAATACTAAAAGTCTGATTATGTCCCCCAAAACTTATGTGGTAGAAATTTAATATCCAAATTTATATGGTGGTATTTGGAAGTAAAGTCTTTGGAAAGTAACCAAGATTATATGAGATGATGAGGTTCAGAACCCCATGATGGCATTAGCAGACTTCTAAGACAAGTCTTCTAAGACTTCTAAGGGAACAAGTATGGTGATTCACAATTTTAATCCCAGCACTCAAGAGAGAAAACAGTTCTACATAGCAAGCTCTAGAACAGCCAGAACTATGTGACAAGATCCTGTCTCAAAAAAACAAAACAACAAAAGACAGATACAGGGCTCAGGACAACACAATTGCCAAGAATGTACAAATTCCTGGGTTTGGTATCTAACAACCCAAAAGAAAGAGATCTGAACATATGTCACAAAGCATTCACCATACTCTTAGACCTGTCAGCCTTCAGCAATGTAAGACAACTAAGCTTCTTTACAAATTACCCAGTCTGGGGCTGGAGAGATAGCTTGGCAGTATTAACTGGTCTTTCAGATGACCCAAGTTAAATTCCCAGCACCCACATGGTGGCTCACAACCATCTGTTATCTATGAATGTGGTACACCAACATATATGCAACTAAAATAAACATACACATAAATAAAAACAGCATATCCTGTTACAACAACAGAAAAAGAAATGAAACAAACTCTACACCCACCCCACAATGGCCATGATCCTGAGATTGAGAATAAAGTAGGCAGAACTATACACTATAACTAAGAAACACAGCTGGAGGACCTTGGCACTGAGAAAGACCCCCATTGTGTACTTCTCAGAAACATACTCTTTTTACCTACACAGTCTCAGATACCTCAAATGCGGCAAGGTCAGCAAATCCTGCCTATGGAGATCCAGCCACCCAGTTTATACTGCCTCTCACCATGGCCCCCTGCTTCCATCTCTCCATCATGGCCAGGGTCACAGGTACAGGCTCATTCTTCTTCCTCTGCAATCCTCTGGAGAATGTGTCACTGTCCTCGCCTCCATCCTCCTCAGTCTCACTTGCTTCCTTTATCAGATACAAAAAGATGAAGCTGGGGCAGGGTGTAGAAGTTATTGGTGCCCCACTGCCCATGTCTGCCAGGTTTCACCTCCAGAGTGTCTGGCAGGGAGTGGTATTGCTCTTCCTCCTCAGAGCTGTCTGAGTCACTGAAGTCCAGTAGGCTCTGGTCATTCTCCTGCAGGAACTTGTAGAACTCAGGGTCTCTGTCCTTCAGCCGAGAGAGCTGGTTTTTGTGCTCAGAAGCACATCCCTTATGCAGGCTGATAAAACAGACGTCAGTAAAGCCAGTGAAAAGCCAACAGGGGAAGGAGTTTTTTTGTCCTTCCACATAGCCAATTTTCTTGTTGCCATAATGAGGCCATGGTATTAGTATGTTCCCTTCACAGTAGGTACCAATGACGAAGCAGGAGGATTTTCTGGGGATAAATCATCAGGCTCATTTCTCTTTCATACTCACACACACATATAGTACCTCTGACACTGTTTCAACACAATCATTTCAAATTCAGCATATGATGAGGGCACTCCCAGACCAGCTATGCACCCACCATGCCCACCCCATTGTTACAAACTGTCATTAGCTCTCCTACAGAGTAATACCTCCAAACTATGTGTGTGCTTACCTCAAAACTCTCCATTTCCAACCTTACAACCCACACAGTTCTAGAGGGACAGTCACAACAGTCCTAGAGGGCCCCTCTTCTATGTTACCTATGTAATTTCATTACTCAACCCTGAGACGGCTTCTCATTTTACCAAAAGGTCTTACAGAATCATGTCCCTCACTGTCACTCTGGCCTCACTGCTTACCGCTCTCTGTCTGTTCCACCACAGCCACACTTTTCTTTAATTCCTCAAAGGCTGCTGTCCACTTTTTCCCCTGCCTCCCTGAGGGCTGGGATTACAGGTGTATGCCATTGCACCAGGCGCTGGCTGGCTGCTTTTTCACAGTCCCCACTCTGGTTGTCAACATTTAATATCAAGTCCTGATCCCATCTCTGCATCCAGCCCAGAAACCTTATCTGTTCTGGCAAACATGCCCTCCAGCCTCCGTTTTTCCCTAGCACACATAATTAATTTTTCTCCAACACGGACCACTGGTTTATCCAGGACCAAGTGCTTTTCTTGTTTTTTTGTTTGTCTCCACTTGGGATGCAGAGGCAGGCATATCGCTAAGTTCAAGGTCAGCCTGGTCTACAGCATGAATTCTAGGACGGCCAAGACTACACAGAGAAACCCTGTCTTGGGGGAGAGGAGACAGGGCGGGGTAGGAAGGAGCCTAGCCGGGGGCGATGGCGCACTCCTGTGATCCCAGCACTCAGGGAGGCAGAGGCAGACGGATCTCTTTGACTGCGAGGCCAGCCTCGTCTACAAAGCAAGTCCAGAGGATAGCCAAGGCTACACAGAGAAATCCTGTCTCGAAAAACCAAAGGGGAATAAAAGCCTTCTACACTATCTTCCAACGCATATCGGCGCAAAGACCGCTGACCCATGGTTCTGTGCAGCATCGCCGGACCAAAGAACTACTGGAAAGTAGATCCCAGTGCGGCGGGACGGAGGTGGGGGAGGGGCGGGGTCTCACCTGGGTGAGGTGCGGGTGTTCCGCTGCTCCCTAGAGATGATTCTTCGTCCTTTTTTTTCCTGTGGTGCAGCTTCCTTGATGTCCTCCAGCTCCGACTCCGACTCAAAGCCCGAGGCCAAGAACTCGTCTACTGTCAACTCTGCCAGTCGCCTGCGGGTTACATCAGGTCAAGACCTCTGTCAGCCCGCCAGCCACTCTTAGAAATGTAGAGAACCCTGGAGCGAGCGTAGTCAGGGATCCGGCCACCCACTGGGTCTACTCACCTCCTGGGAGAGCCAGACACAGCCATGCTGCTTAAAGCGGCTTACGCCCCACTTCCGGGCCCAGAATGCTATGCGCCGCCAGACTTCCTCTCCCAAGCCCCGCCCGTCCTACCATGTTGGGAGCTCTAGGGTTCTCATGCTGTAATTCCGGCAGACCCTAGGCGGGAGGGTGCCTTTGCCCTATTGGTGAAGCAGGTGTGCTAAACCGCGACTTCTGCACTTATTAACCACTGCAGGCCGATCGGCTCTCACAGCACAACACCCTCTATAAAATGCAGTAACGGTTCCTACCCGAGAAACACAAGGCTGCAAATCCGGACAACCCTGCCCACTACAACCAGACAGGAAAAGAGAAAAAAAAAAAAAAATTAAACTAGAGCTGGCCTTAAACCCAGCACTGGGGAGGCAGAGGAAGGAGAATCTCTTGAGTTCGAAGCCAGTCTACAGATCGAGTTCCAGGACAGCCAGGGCTACACAGGGAGGGCAGACAGACAGACTAACTCTATCCAGGGGCTGGATAGAGATGGCTTGGGCTTAAGAACACTAGCTACTCTTCCAGAGGATTGGGATCCAATTCCCAATGGTGGTTCATAACTGAATCCCAGGAGATCTGATGCTCTAGACTTCAGGTCTCTATAGGCACTGCAAGCACGTAGTTTATATAATACACAAACGGGCAAAACACCCATACACATTAAATGAAAAAAATGTACATATTTTTTTTAAGTCAAAGGTTGCCTAATTCCTTGGTGAGCCTGAATGTGACAAGAATGTCACACCCTGACAGCCTGACAGCCCCGCAGCCCCTTAGTGCATACAAACATACACAAACTTGTATGTGTAGGAGCGCTGAACCATGAGGGAGGTTGCCTTTCCACACGCTTGTGAAACGAAGGCTTGAGAATAAGACAAGAGGGCTAGCATCCAGCGCTCCCCCAGTGCTATGGAGTTTTGTCAGTCACAGCAAGACCTAGCAGGTGAATGCTGGGGTACCCGAACTTGAAGCTAACCAAGGTGCCAAAAGCAGGTTAGGTGCTCCTTGGAAGAGTGCGGGGATGGGAGTGGAGCTCCGTAGCAGAGGGAGGTTGATAGCTCAAGGCTTGGGGGGGAGGGGGGAGCAGGTCCTGCAATCTTGTGTGAGGCCGGGCGGGCGGCGCCGAGAAACAGGGCCTGCGGAGACCGGCTAGCGCTGTGTGGACGCAGCTCAGGCAGTCTTCCTGCGGTCCGAATCAGTCATACTGCATTTCGCGGTCCGCCGCAGGTTTGGCGGCTGAAGTTATGCAGCCCCGTGGCGAGCGGCCTGCTGGCAGGACGCAGAGTCCAGAGCACGGTAGCCCAGGGCCCGGGCCTGAGGCGCCACCGCCGCCCCAGCCGCCGGCGTGAGTGGAGTGGAGGGTTTGAGGGAGGGATGGCTCCCTGCAAGAGGTGGTACAGGGTCTCAGCCCTTTGGTTCTTCGGCCACAGTGGAACAGATCTGCAGAATGGGGCAGAAGGGGCTGCTCCCAGGGCCGGGTGAGATCAATCTGGTGAGTGGGATCCAGGGATTCACTTCAGAGGGACAGCGTTGGCCAACTTCTCTCCAGCGCCTACTGTGCTCACAGTACTGAGAGCACTGATCCCTGGGAAATGCCTGCTTCTCCCCGAGGCACTAGAAGGGGAGCTTGGAGCCTTAGGAGAGGAGAGGTAGTGAGCAGAGAAAAAGGGACAGGTGCCAGGTGAGAGCAGGCTGAGGTTTAAGAAAGAATCTGCTCTGGCTCCAGGGAGGCTCCTTGACAGGAGAGAGAACTTGAGCCCTGGAAAGGAGCAGTGGGTGATGACAGGATGGACTACTGGGGATAGATTGCAGCTGCCTTTCCTGTGTCCAGAGATCTTAAGGGTGGGTGAGTGTCTCCCTTTGGTGTATAAACACTGACCTAGCCCTGCTGCCTGCAGCCCGGAGGCAGAGCGAGCTCGGCCCAGGCAGGCCCGGCCTGCAGCCCCCATGGAAGGTGCGATGCAGCTGTTGAGCCGAGAGGGTCACAGTGTGGCACACAACTCCAAACGGCACTACCATGATGCCTTTGTGGCTATGAGCCGCATGCGGCAGCGTGGCCTCCTGTGTGACATCGTCCTGCATGTGGCAGCCAAGGAGATCCGTGCTCATAAGGTGGTGTTGGCCTCCTGCAGCCCCTACTTCCACGCCATGTTCACAAGCAAGTACCACATACTACAGTCTGGGCAGCCCTAGGGGGCTCTCTGCAGATCTCCCAGGGTAGACTGCCTGACCCACTATCCTCACAGATGAAATGAGTGAGAGCCGCCAGACACACGTGACACTGCATGACATTGACCCGCAGGCCTTAGACCAGCTGGTGCAGTTTGCATACACGGCTGAGATCGTGGTTGGCGAGGGCAACGTTCAGGTGAGGCATGCTGTTCCCACACATACCCCTTTGGGGTGTCCAGTCCCAGATATGTGTAGCCTGGCCTCCCCATGCCTCTCCTCAGTATCCAGTTACTCTGTGCTCCTCTAGCCCCCTCCTGCCTCACCCATCTTCATGCCCCAGACTCTACTCCCAGCTGCCAGCCTTCTACAGTTGAATGGTGTCCGAGATGCCTGCTGCAAGTTCCTCCTGAGCCAGCTCGACCCTTCCAACTGCCTGGGCATTCGAGGATTTGCAGACACACACTCATGCAGTGACCTGCTCAAGGCGGCACACAGGTACGTGCTGCAGCACTTCGTGGATGTGGCCAAGACTGAGGAGTTCATGCTGTTGCCACTGAAGCAGGTAACCACTGAAGCAGGTAACATGCCAGTTTGGGCCCAGCCCACACCACACATTTCCCCAGCCCAGACCCTAGTAGCCAGTGTTCTGCAATCCTCATTCGCAAGTTACCCTATGATCCATTCCTTGGCCATCTTCCCCCAAGTCCTGTCTCCATCTTCGAATTCCACCCAATCATTTGCTTTAGATTCCTGTCTTTACCACATTCTAGGACCATGATTGCCCAGTCTCTGATTCTTTGTACCTAAGACTACTTAGGGCCTAGGACACCCCTCACCCTTCTGCCCATCACCAGCACTGCTAGAACCAAAATCTGTGAATCTTCACTCTGCTTGGTCCTTCACTCCAAAACACTGTGTGTGTATTTGTGCATGTACATGTACATGCCCTCTGATACGCTCAGACACCTTCAGGTTTTCTGGGCCCTCCCCTACCCAGATGCCAGGTCTGAGGACCTCTCCCCTTCCCCTCACCCCAGGTGCTGGAATTGGTCTCTAGTGATAGCCTGAATGTGCCCTCAGAGGAAGATGTCTATCGTGCAGTCCTGAGCTGGGTCAAACATGATGTAGACACTCGGAGGCAGCATGTACCAAGGGTGAGGCCAAGTCCTGAAGCTCCCAGGGTATCTAGGAGGGAATGCAGGTGGCTAAGCTGTAAGCATACTTCTTGGAGTACTTAGCATCTTCCATTCAGGGACTCCTTTGGGGTGATACAGGCACTTGTCTCAAGAACCAATTGTAGAAATGCTATAGGCACCTGAGTGGGTATTAGCCCTGGGACAAGTGTGCCCTAGGGTCTTGCCTTACCTGGCACCTCCTGCCCTAGCTGATGAAATGTGTACGGCTGCCTCTGCTGAGCAGAGACTTCCTATTGGGACACGTGGATGCCGAAAGCCTTGTGAGGCATCATCCTGACTGCAAGGATCTGCTCATTGAGGCCCTTAAGTTCCACTTGCTGCCTGAGCAGAGAGGTGTTCTGGGTACTAGCCGCACAAGACCCCGTCGCTGTGAGGGTGCTGGTCCTGTGCTCTTTGCTGTTGGTATGCTGAACCCCTTCTCCTTCCCATTCTTGTCCTAGGCTATCTACCCCAATTCAGAATACAGACCTAATCTATTACACTTAGGACCTGTATATCTTAAAGACCCTGTGGGATGGGGCCCACCATTGTGACCCAGTTCCTATCTGTTCCCACTCCTGGAGCCTTCATATATTTGTATTTAGGTTACACTAGAGTCCCCTGACTTGCCTTCTTCGGCCTCTTTACTTACGTTGTTCTCGTCTTCCAGGTGGTGGGAGCCTGTTTGCCATCCACGGAGACTGTGAAGCATATGACACTCGAACTGATCGCTGGCATGTGGTGGCTTCCATGTCCACGCGTCGAGCCAGAGTAGGGGTCGCTGCTGTTGGGAACCGACTGTATGCCGTGGGCGGGTAAGATAGAAGCTGGGAATGGCTCAAGAGTTTGTCACATGCTTGCCAGGCTATCTGTGATCAGTTGTGGACTCTTCTCCTAGCTACGATGGAACCTCAGACCTGGCTACAGTGGAGTCCTATGATCCTGTGACAAACACGTGGCAGCCTGAGGTGTCTATGGGCACAAGACGAAGTTGCCTGGGTGTAGCTGCCTTGCATGGGCTTCTGTATGCAGCTGGTGGCTATGATGGGGCTTCCTGCCTCAACAGGTAGTAGTTTGGGTTAGGGCCCCAGTGGCCTTACAGGGTTGGCTCAGCAGTAAGAGAATGATGTCCTGCTTAATCAAGGCTACCAAGTCCCCAAGGCCTCTTCACCATAGGGCCCAGCGTCAACAGGGCCTTGGCACTATTCTGTCCCCTTTTCTCTCTGGGGCCCTCCCACCAGTTCAAGCAGTTAATAGCCTGTGCCCATCTAACATATTTTCCAATCTTTCATAGAGTCTAATGACAAGGATTTCAGCCACAGCATTGTGGGGATGAGGGCACAGGTCCTGGGAAAGGGTCACATGACTGTTGTAGTTGAACATCAGCATCATTCTGGTGCCCACAGTGCTGAACGGTATGACCCACTGACAGGAACATGGACATCCATTGCTGCCATGAGCATCCGGAGGCGATATGTGCGTGTGGCCACACTTGGTGGGTGACAGGACCTGCTTCCCATGGTACCTGCTTTCCTGCCTGTACCCTTCCCACCTATCCCCCCAAACCCCTACAACCTGCAGGAGCTTCGTGGGTATATTGCCTTCCCACAGATGGGAGCCTGTACGCCGTAGGTGGTTATGACAGCTCATCACACCTGGCCACTGTGGAGAAGTACGAGCCCCAGGTGCATAACACACCCCTCTCACAGTTTCTTCCTCTCAAGTGCTGGGTAGGATGGGGCATAATCCCATCTCTGGCCACCTGTGCCATCCAAGGGTCTGCTTTCTACCCCTGACCCTCGGATATCCAGCTAAGATTAGGGTCTCTGTTGTGGCAGGGGTGGAGTGCCCTTGGTGAGTCTGCCTCCAGCCTGTCCCCTTGTCTCTACAGGTGAATTCATGGACACCTGTGGCATCCATGCTGAGCCGGCGCAGCTCAGCAGGAGTAGCAGTGCTGGAGGGTGCCTTGTATGTGGCAGGAGGCAACGATGGCACAAGCTGCCTCAACTCAGTGGAGAGATACAGCGCCAAGGCTGGTGCCTGGGAGAGTGTGGCACCCATGAATATCCGCAGGTGTATAAGGCCAGGGGTGGGTGGTGAGTGGTTCTGCTGCTACATCTGGTTGACTCCAGGAGCCTAGCTCCAGGGGTTGTGTACACAATGCTTCAACAGTGCAGCAGGTCCTTCAGGGCACCTGGGGCTCCTTTCCAAGCCCTGTCCCTATGGCTCCTCCCTCCATGTCCCACATATTTGGCTTCTCTCATGGCTTGCCTCTTGGGCTTACTCTTGCCTGTCCAACCCCCAGGAGTACACATGACCTGGTGGCCATGGACGGCTGGCTCTACGCTGTGGGGGGCAATGATGGCAGCTCCAGTCTCAACTCCATAGAGAAATACAACCCGAGGACCAACAAGTGGGTGGCAGCATCCTGCATGTTCACGAGACGCAGCAGTGTGGGTGTGGCAGTGCTGGAGCTGCTCAACTTCCCACCACCTTCCTCACCCACGCTGTCTGTGTCCTCTACCAGCCTCTGACACATGTCAGACTGCACAAAGGCCCTGTAGCCTCCCACATGCCTTAAACCCTACGGGTGGCCCTACCACCTCTGTCTCCTCCACCAAGTGTTAGGGCAGATCACATATCCCCCCCAGAGAGCTCCTGTTCCTTTTGTCTTAATCTCTGTGTTCATTTGTCCTTGTTCATTTATTTGTGTGTTTTTGTTTACTCGTTTATTTATTGATTCACTATTTATTGATGGATGAGAAGTGCTGCAGCTACCAAATCACACATTTACCCTAAATTGTCAGCTCTCCTGCATGTAGGGGACCAAAGAACCCTGCAGAGTGTTTTCTTTCCTGTCTCCCTTTGTGGAGCAGCAGGGAATGCTGGGGGTGGATACTCCCTGAAGGAGGATAAGCAACACAGCTGGGCCTTGCAAACAGTAGGGGGGGGGGCAGAGCTACAGGAGCAGAGGCAAGGGCTTTCTAAGAAAATGTAAACCCCTAGCGCTTTGCACACAGCACTTATCTGTCTCTGCCAGGCACTGTCCCTGAAGGGCACAAAGCTTTCCTATGTCTTGTGTATATAGCGTGATGTCTTTTCTGGGTCTTCTGTGGAGCTGGCACACAACATGCACTTAGATCCTACACAGCAATATGAGCCAACTTGAACAATAAACATATTTCTTAGGCTCTGTGGGCCTGAGGCTGAATGTCCATCTCTGGCCCCCTTTGTACCCTCTGCTTTGTGGGCCTTCAGCACATCTTTGGCTTCTGTCTGGACAACAAGGTGAAGGTCTACGGTCAAGTGTGCAGCCAGACTCAGGTGCTACATTAATGTCTAAGGCTGCAAAATGGCACTTTAATGTCCAAATGGAGCCAAGATTGGTTTATATTGGTTGACCGGGAGAGACTGGCTGTCATCCTAGTCCTGAAGCTCCTATGCTCTGGGGCTATGGAGTGCATGAGAAAGAGGCTCCTACTTTATCTTTACTGTCTTAGGAACCTGGGAGGCATGTGTTCTCTTTCTTGCATTTATTTAAGCCTTTGGAACCCTGGCTTTGGTCTGGGTGAGGGTTGTCCAAGGAAGGAGAGAAGCTGGAGGGTTCTGACCTCCCTTTATATGGTGTTGCACTTCTTGAGTAACTAGAGTAAGCACACGCCCCCTACAGTCACCAGTGACTCAGGCAGCTGGGATTCTTGTGGAAACAGGATGTGTGAGCCCTGGCAGGGGAGGGGCAACTGGGTGGAAGGATCCCTTTGTCATTAGAACTCCAACATTGAGGCTCCTCAAGCCTGAACACAGGTCGACAGGGCTATATGCAGACCAAGCCCTCCTGGCCAGGCCTATACAGACTGGTGAGGGCCCCCGGCCCAATCAGGAAATGTCTACCTACCTCAAGGCTGCCTTCCTAGGCTTAGAAAGCCTGGGCCCTCACTGGAAGGTTTTCTCAGAAAGGAGCCTCCTCCAGCCCCAAGGTAGGGGCAGGGCGTCCTATAGCCACGCCCACTGGCGGGAGCTTTTGGCAGACAGAACCAAGTACCCAGACCAGTCGACCTACCCAGCCCAAGCTAGCAGCTGCCATCCATGGGGAACAGCCACTGCGTCCCTCAGACCCCCAGGAGGCTACGGGCCTCCTTTTCCAGAAAGCCCTCGCTCAAGGGAAACAGGTGAGGGGTGTGGCCTGACTACAAGGGAACAGGATCTCCCTGGACCTGCTGCCTGAGCCAGGCTTTGAGCCTACGGTTTCCCTTGTTCCCAGAGAGGACAGCGCCAGGAAGCTGGCTGGCCTGTTTGGCACCGAGGCTAGGCCTGATGGGGACACCGCGGCTAACAAGATCTTCCACTACATACCCGGGACGGTGAGCGGAGGGGCGTGTCTGGCTGGAATGGTATGGCACTGGGCCTGGAGTCTGAGTACAACTTTGTGCTTCCCCTGAATGATTGTATGTGCACCACAGTGTGAGTGATAATGTGTAATCTTCCAAAAACTCAGGGTCACCCCTGGCCAGCTTGTTTCCTCAAAACAAGATGAGGAAGTTGACACTGCCCCTCCCTGGGGAGCTCATCCAAAAGTCTAGGCTGAGAGTGAAACCAAGACCAGCATTGAGTCAGTGGTGAGCCGGCAGAACCTGCCCAGTCTATTGCACATCCAAGGGTACAGTGGCCACCCTAAACCTCCACTGCCCCAACGTGGGTCTTGCCCAGGAACTGTGGGGAGTTTTCTGGTAAACAGCATACTGCAGGCTTCACCAAGTGTTACCCACCCCCAGCTGTTTCTGGTTACGTGTGACCCACAGCTACCATGTTGCCATCTAGACAGGCACCCATCTCATACAGCAAGGAGCCAGTTCTAGAGTACCTTTAGACCTCCTGTCATGAGATCAGAGGGTTAACCATTTTGTGGGTCTAAGGGCTAGCTGAGGAGAAAGACATCTTTTCCCAACTCTCTGACAATACTTGGGAGGAGCCTAGGCTGCAGGTCTGACCCGAACACCTACTGTGCTGTTCTTGGAGAACCATACCCAGTGGGCCAGGCTCTGCTGTATGTGCAGCTTCTACCAGGGTTGAGGCAAAGGCTCCTATCCTGTATTCTTCAGTGCTGCAGCTGATGTAAACTCCCAAAGTATACCTTTCTCAGGCTCCCAGGAAGCTAGGAAGATTGTACCACAACTTATCCTGGTCTCTGAGGTCCCAGGACTCTCTGCAGGCAGGTGCCACCTCCAAAAACCTTGCTGCCTCAAAAAAGTAGAGAGGAAAATGAGGCCTAGAGTAGCATCTCTCCCTATGGGCACATCTCAGACCCTGACTCCCTCTAGTCAGGCCCAGGACATAATTCTGAGGGGGAAACTCCCAAGTTCCAGGGTGGTTGACTCTAACCAGAGCACAATAACTAGAAAAGGCAAAACCCTCAGGAAGTGGGTTTGGGGGAGGGATCCAAGCCAGGCATGGAACCAGTCCTCCTGAGTACTGTATATAAGCTATAAACTCTAGGTAGATTCTGCACCTGAGCTAGAACTGGCCCTGCCGCAGCTCCAAGCTGAGTCCTCGGGGCACAGAGCTCTAAGGCTGCCGTGAACACCAGGACTAGCTTCATAGCCCTTCCTATTCATAGTCTATTTTTCAGTGCCACCCAGCATCAGTTTCAACACTAGGTGTAGGTACAGGAGGCCTCACCCAAAGCCAGTGGGGATGGGAGTTGTTTTTGTCTGTTAACATTCCTAGGCCTGCACTACAGGTAGTTCAATGTGACCAGTGCATAGCAGCCCATGCAGGTGGTCCTGTGTAGCTCCCAAAGGCAACATAGACACTGTTCTAAGCATGTGGCTCACAGCTTACTTCAGGCTATCATTATCCATTCCTACCTGATCTCTAATATGATACAGAGGACTCTTCCAGGACTAGCTAAGAGTTATGTAGATGTTGAGCCTACCTCTCTCCCTGCCTCTCAGAACATCCCAGGTCACATCCTAGGCTATGTGGAGTCAGCAGTGAGCAAATTAGAGCAAGATTCCTGTTATCACCGTCTTCCTCTTCTATGTCAAAGACAGTTGAGACAAATAAGAGAAGATAGAATAAGCCAGACTAAATCAATACTAAGTGAAAAGCAAAACCTGGAATTTTAGGACATTCAGAAAGAAGATAAAACCTGAACAAAGCCTAGAAAGGGGTAAAATGGAGAGTTAGGGCTGAGTAGTCTCAGCAGAGAATTGTACACTCAAAGGTGAGACACATTTGTGCCTTATGTAATGGAAAAAGGAAAGAAAAGACTGGGCCCCAAGTTCAGTCCTCAGGCCATTGCCAATGCTTTACCTTCTACTGTAAGATAAGTAATGTATATATAGTGAGCTGAGGCCACCAGCATAGACTCACAAAAGCTGACTAGTATCTCTCCAGTTTCAAGTTCATAGACATCATACTGATAACTTGGGCAATGTTGGGAATATTTACACCAAGGAAATTAGCAAATATTATAAGACAGGACCCTGTTTTTTTTGTTTTAAAAAAAAAAAACAAAACATTGCCAGCTGCCACTGAAAACTTGAGAAGGCTTTGAGCATTATTTCATCTTCATAATATACTTGGAACTCTTTGACAAATCTTGGAGTGTTGAATGACCGAAGTCAAGATGTATAATGTAGGAGGTAATGAAGATAGGGATTAAACCCACTATGTACCAACTTCAGTCTGTACCACAGAGCAGATAACTTTAGGGAGAATGTGTGTGTGTGTGTGTGTGTGTGTGTGTGTGTGTGTGTGTATGTATGTGTGTGTACATGGGCCGCTTTTCATGTGAAAAGGCTTAGGTGTGTGGAGGGGGTATGCATGTATGTGTACTTGATGAATATATTCTGTGGCCATGCATGGACACAACTATATGCAGCAGCTGTATGTATATTGCCTGGGGATTTGGCCCCATCTGGTCCCTCTCTTGAGCCCTGATCCCCCAGGACATCCCGGGCCTGGAAAATCATCCAGAAAACCTGGAACAGCCATTCCTGAGTGTATTCAAAAAAGGGTGGCGGAGGACACCTGTGAGGAACCTAGGCAAGGTTGTGCACTATTCCAAGGTTCAGCTGCGGTTCCAGCACAGCCAGGTAGGAGCAACACCAGGTTGAGAAATGCTTGGGAACCAACATCATGCCATCCTGGCACTATCCTTCAGCCTCTGAGACTAGTGGACCTGCTCTTCCCTAGGACATCAGTGACTGCTATCTAGAGCTGTTTCCCTCCCACCTGTACTTCCAGGCTCATGGTTCTGAAGGACTTACATTCCAGGTGAGTGTTATAGACAGGGAGGGAGTGGCTCTGTTCCCTAGGAATCCTTGCAGCCTCTCCTATACTATCCTGTGGCAGGGGCTGCTACCACTGACGGAACTGAGCATCTGCCTGATTGATGGGTCCAGAGAGCATGCCTTCAGGATTACAGGTGTGTGGAAAGTGAGGCCTTCTGGACTAGGCCTTGATGGTTTACTTGGATCCCTTGAAGAGTAGACTTTCTTGTGGGCTTCTATGAGCTCTAAGATTAGCCCCTAGCCCACTTGACTCTTCTGTCTCTAGGCCCACTGCCTGCCCCGCTCCTTGTTCTCTGCCACAGTGAGGCTGAGCTCAGCCACTGGCTCTACCACCTGGAGAAGCAAATGGCTCTCTTGGGGGGTCTGCGACGCTGCCACTCAGCACCCCCACAGGTCAGTAGCAGGGGCCTGTAAGCCCTTCCCCCATCCAGACTCTCTGGCCTGACTTGCTCCTTCCTTCGCCCCAGGGTCCTCTGGGTGATGAACTCCCCTGCACCCGGCTATGGAGAGCATCTGGGTGTGAATCCATGGGCAGTGCAATCTGTGCCTCAAGGGTCAAGCTGCAGCATCTGCCTTCCCAGGTGGGTAGGGAAAGACCCGAGGTGCAATAATAGGAAAGTATACAGGAACCAAGTAAGGCTGGACCCTAGATGCCCAACTCGACTTTATCCTTTGATCCCTTACAGGAGCAGTGGGACCGGCTTCTGGTACTATACCCAGCATCCCTGGCCATCTTCTCTGAGGAGCCAGAAAGGCTTAGCTTTAAGGTTGGCCCTCTCCACATATACCTGTCCAGGAAGGTGGCCTTTGTGAGGTGGGGGTGGAGACTCAGAAACCTGTATTTCAGGGCCTGTTGGGACAGAGCACAGGACTCCACCCATCTGGTCCCACTGCTCTGGTCAGTCGAGTCTCTGTTCTGGCACAGAGGAGGAGTCTCCACCTCTAAATCTCCTAGAGGGATACCCGTAACCCTGGAATGGGTGGAATGGGACAGTCTACTTCTTGGAATCCCTGGTGCATGTTCCCCCTTGTCTCTGAGAACCTACAATGCATCATGTGTGTGTGTGTGTGTGTGTGTGTGTGTGTGTGTGTGTGTGTGTGTCTGTGTCTGTGTCTGTGTCTGTGTGTGTCTGTGTGTCTAGGACTAAAGCATGACATGGTGTGTACTCATAATCACTGAAAAACACACCAAGGGGGCTTTCCTGACAGGGGCTGGTCCCTATAAGCATCTGTTTCAACTGGCATCATCTGGTGAAGATCCAACAGGAGGTAGAGTGGGGATGTCTCAGAACAAACAAAGCCACCTAACCTTTCTCAGAGTGTCATCCTCAGTGCTAGGTGGTCTGGGTTTCCAGCCCAGTTCTGGAGGGCAGGATGGAAGGATAGTGCCAGAAGGAGGCTGAGATGACTTAGATAAATACCTTGTCCTCACTCTACAGGGGGAGCTTCCACTAAGTGCCATCCACATCAACCTAGAAGAGAAGGAAAAGGAGATCCGTTCCTTTCTTATCGAAGGTAGGGTCCTGCCTAGAAAACACCCACTGCTTGACTGGGCTGGGAGGGGTATGAATTTTGTGGATGCCCTTTTGCTCTGTGGGATAAGGAATGTACCTATCCTGTTAGAATTTAGCTTACATATCTTTGTGCCTAGGCCACCTCATCAACACCATCCGCGTGATATGTGCCAGTTATGAGGATTATAGTCAATGGCTGTTGTGCCTCCGGAGTGTCTCTCACAAGGAGGGGCCCCACCCGCTGCCTGGCCCAGAGAGTTTCCCAGGATTACATAGACCCACACAGGTAAGGAATCAGTGAGGTTCCTATAACTCAGGTTGTGGGCAGTGGTACAAACTAGAGAGCAGTAGAGTAGGTCCAAGCAGGAATAGATAAGGAGACAAATCCAGCTATTCACCTTACTTCTGCTGCTTAGCTTGTGGGTAAAGGTAGAGGTTCACTATTACAATGGACAAACCAGCTAGAAATTAAGAGTGCCCAGTGTTTCCCACCAGCCAATCCCTCCCTGAGTCCTCAGTGCCAATCACTATAGGCTTCCCTGTCCAGCCTGTACCTGTAACTGCCTAAAGGAATGGCATGGGATGGGAAGAGGATAAGAAAACATGGGATTCTGTCTTCTGCGGAGCCTAGGTCTCACTGTCCCTTAGTGCTAGTTACTGGATCATAGTTAGTTATAGAGGGCACATGAACTGAAGGAACTTCCATACAGCCTCAAAGAAAGTCTGTGGGAAAGAAGCCCTGGAGATCTTTCTGAGTGGTTCTTGTTTTCCACAGAACCAGACCAACTCTAACTGTGTCAGCACTGGCCGAAAGAAAATAGAGCTGAGGCGCAGTGCCAGTAGCCAGTCTCCCAGGGGCAAAACTCGAAGGGAAGTATCTGGCTCAGCTGTCCCACTGCCCCTGCACCTCGACCTGACCAAGGTAAGCCCACCAAATACCCTAACCCCAGGCCATTTTCCCTCCTGGTTCTACTTCCTTGCTTGCCTAGGTGGTCCTAGAACCCACAGACCTCATGTCCTGAGGAACCCATTTATCCCCTTTTTCTTGAAGATGAGTATGCTAGACCTGGATTGTGGCCCAGAGGCTCAGGATCACTCTTTGGACATTCCACATTCCCCACTCTATGCTGATCCCTACACACCACCAGCTACATCTCACCACAAGATCACAGACATCCAAGGCCTAGATGAGGTAAGTGCCCTACTAGGTGGCAGGACTGGACATGCTACAGTGAGATCAGAAGATGTCAGAAGCCTGGAGACTATGAAAGGAGGGTGTTTCTGGGCAAGGAATACCTAGACTTTACAGTGGTCACAGACCAGGGCTTCAGGTAACTCACATTTTCCTAGCAGTTCCTCTGTGCGATGCAGACATCACCTGGACCTGAGCTATCAAGCCCGTTCCCCTCAGTCTCCGTGTCTGTGCCTATCTCTGACTCCAGCTCTGGAATCTCCAGCTCCCCTGGGCCTCTGAGCTCCCACATGCTCTCCAAGAAAGGTGCCCTGCAGTCTAGATCTTCCCAGAGACACCGGGGTTCCATCAAGAGCAGGGGACCACAGCCCTCGGATTGCCCTCAGCTTGTAAGTCACATCCTCTACTCTGGTGTGGAGGCCTTTGAATCAGGGGATGTTAGGTAGCTGGATTCTAGGACTCCAAAGAGAAAAGCAGGAGAATATGGGGCAGAGAGAAACCAAGGGCAGAGACAGTGTATCAGGACGGGAAGCTGGAAAGTAAGGAGAATGTAGCACGGGCCTGGCAGATCAGGTGAGCTGATCTGTGCTTGCTTTAAGATTTGTGTTTTGGGGCTTCCAGGTCACTGCTGCCAGAGAAGATGCACCCAATTCCCTGTCGCCGCCTCCAGGTGAATGAGGGTCTTCTCTCCTTCAGGGAAAGGGTCCAACTTCCTAAAGACTGATAACTTTTCTCTGACATCCCTACTAGATGAAGAGGCTCCTATCTGGAACAAGACTTCCTCTCCCTCCCACCAGAAGTGGCCACATATCAGGAAGCCTGCAGTAGAGGGGGGTTTCATCCAGTGGATCTGATGGCCCTAGGTGGACTGCTTCTCAGTAATACAACCAGCCAGCAACAACCTGGATAAGAGTATGCAGTCCTTTGACCTACACTAAGCACGCCAGGTCTTAAACCCAGCAGGTTATGGGTGTCTCTAAGGAGAGAAAGAAGCACCTCTCAGCAGGCTCAAGCTCCTCTGCCTTAGCAGCTAGAACAACTTCTCCTGGGAACAAACCAGGGAGGGATGTCAGTGTGATCCTGGATAACCCAAGGGGCTGTACCTCTGGGGAAGAAAGGATGAGCATGCTAGAGCAGCTCTCTACTTAGAAATGGAGAAAGCATGAGTGTGAAGTACAGAGTGCTGAAAAAATCAGGTTGTCAAACTCAGCATGTGAAGTCAGAGGACATAAGAGTCAGAGGTCAGTAGGGTGAGAGCTATTACAAGAAACAAAGCTATATAGAAAGACGCATTACTGTTGGGTGCATAGGGTAAAGCTGGTCAGAAACACCATAAACACCATAAACACCATAAACGAGAAAGTGATTTTATTGGTACTGTGTCCCTGTGTTCCCCTCTGAACAGACAGGGTACCTTACTATCCTAAGGACCTTCATGTGCTATCTTGGGTGCAACTCCCCCTACACTGGCTATCACTGTGCCACCTCAGTCCCATCATCTACCTTCCCTTTCTACAATTTATCTCAGCCTTGACTTCATTCAAGTTCCCTGTAGTATCCAGAGACAGTCCTTCCATAGGACGCTACCAAATTCTATGTAGGGATCGTGGAGAAAATCCAACCTTGCCCCACAGATTCCACCACACAGGGGCCTCCAAGGCCATCCCAAAGGTATACCCTAGAACAGTGGTTCTCAACCTGTGGGTTGTGATCCCCTTGGCAAATCTTTAGGTCCAAAAATATTTCTGTTACGATTCATAACAGTCAGTAGCAAAATTACAGTTATGAAGTCTCAATGAAAAAAAAAGGAAAAAGAAAGAAAAGGAAGGAAGGAAGGAAGGAAGGAAGGAAGGAAGGAAGGAAGGAAGGAAGGGAGCAAAAAGAAAAGAAAAAGAAAAAGTAATTTTATGGTTGGGGGTCACCACAACATAAAAAACTGTATTAGAGAGTTGCAACATTAGGAAGGTTGAGAACCACTACCCTAGAACCTATAGACTTAGGCCAGGCCTAGGCAAGCTTTGGCTGTGGTGCCTTGGGGATCAGGGCCTTGGAGGACCTTGCCAGCCAAGCCTGCCTTTCAATAGGGCAGAGTTCTTGGACTGCCTCTCTCTAGCTTTGAAAGCACTCAGTATCCTCATCTTGGCCTAGACATACCCAGAGGGACGTTGTTGGTTTGACACTTATTGTAGAGTCCTCTTTTGCTGCTCAATTTTTAATTTATGAATGGACAAAAAGCAGAGGACCCAATTAATTTGGATTTCAGATAACAACAAATAATTTCTTCATACAAGTATATCTCAAGAATTTTCATGTAAATTCAAATTTAGCTAGGTGCCCTGTGGTTTTTATTTGCAAATCTGATGTCCTATTGCCCAGCTCCTTGCTCAGTGCCCACTCATTAACAATCCTGAATCTCTACCCACTCAGTTATGGAAAATGGCGTTGACCTTAGCTACTGGCTGGACCTTTAGGTTGAGTCCAAGTAAGTCAGCACCAAGGACACTGGCTCCTTCCTAGATGCCTTAGAAGACAGGTATCAAAGGGTAGAGAGAAGAGCAACATCTTGTCTTTGTCCTAGAATCATCCACATGCTCCATGCTTTACCAGGCCAGCCTGGCTTCTAGCAGCTGGGGTTGGAGTTGGAGTTGGGTCTTGGTCTGCCGTTATGCCCTCTCCCAACCTGACGGCGGAAGTAACGGATAGCAGAGATGGTGCCAATGTTGGCCAGCAAGACTGAAAGAGAAGCAGAATCTTTAGTGCTATCTCTGGCTTTTTCACTGCCTTCTGCCTACATAACCCAGCCTTCAAAGTATGTTAGAGGTAGGTTAACAATGACAAAAGCATGGTCAAAGAGAGCCTGAACCTTCCATGTACCTTTCATCCCTGCTGGCACAGCAGAAGAGGTAAAAAACTATAACCCCTAGGTCTTCTAGGAATAGCACCTCTATCCCAGGACCTCCAAACCTGTTTTCCAAGCATCTGGAGCATGTAGGTCTGAGGTTCTCACAGCCCAAGTGGCAAAGGCAACAAACACCAGGCACATGTCATTCTGGCTGAATGTAAATGAAGGAAGAGGACTCTGTAGTTCCCCTAGGGAAAGAAAAGTACATTAAATGCTCCTTTCTGAGACATGCCTGCCATAGAAAACCATCTGTCCTAGGCAAATCTTTTGAGTCAGATCTTCCCCATGACTTCTCTTCCTTAAGACAATGGATAGCATGTGTCATACTTGAATCAAAACAATTTGGGTGATTTCCCTTTTGGGTCTTCTGTTGTCTGGTCTGTGGAATGGTTTCCAGAGGGAAAAGGAGATATTTTTCCCACCTTGCCTCAAGCAGCATGGCCTGAGTGGGAATGAGCTCCTAGTATCTGCCTCCTAGAAGCTAAAGGAAAATGTCTGATGGTACCTAGGACTGAACTTAGGACAGTGGTTAGTGACAAAGCCAGAAACTCTGAAGTATCTGGCCTGAGCTGCCCTATCTCAGTGGTGTCCTGGGGTAGCTTAGGAGCTTACCCTTTCCTCATGTAGATGTCAGAGCTTACAAGAGCACACACACAAGCACATATACAGGCAGATGATTAGGGTCATTCCCCACCCCTCTCCCATATCCTCTTGCCCTAGCTCCTTGGACAATATGTTCCCAGGACCTGAATGGGACCTGATCAACACTTACCTGCCTCCCTGACTGTCAAGCTAAGATGTTCTGCTGTAACTGGAACAAGCTTGGAGGATGCCTCAGATCCTACTTCCCTGGAAAGCTCTGAGGTCTGCAGTTGAATATGAGTGGCTGGTGGCAGTTTGTTCCCAAATCCTTCCTCAGTAAAGAAGTGTTCATAGACCTCAGGGATGGAGATAGGCACCACATCTCCAGGGGGAACAGGTGCCACAGACTCCGCTCTTGGGGATGGGACTGGGGTGTATCCCCTCTGACAATTTGACCTTTGGGCTCTACTGTCCGGAAAAAAAAACTCGCATGTGTCAGGCCATTGGACTTCATCCAGGTCTTGGATGGCTGCCTTCTCATCCTCTATATCTTCGTCTTCCTCCTCAATGGTATCACAAAAGAAGAACTCATAGGCCTCAGGGAGAGTCACTGCAAAGCAGCTTCCAGGCTCAGGCTCTGCTGAGACAGAGGATATAGGGGGAGGCAGGTGCTTGAGAATCCGAGGTTGGGGAAGTCGGGGCCCGACCGCCACAGCATCCCAAGCAGCAGATCCTCCACGGCTCCCTGCTGCTGTCCTGGCAGCTGGAGGCCACTCTGGGGTTAGGAAGGGTGGGCCTATAGGCTTGCCTGACCCTGATTCTTCATGACTGGGTACAGCCATGGAAAATCGTACTTTCTTCTTCTTGGGGACTTGGACAGGACCTGGGCAGGGCTCACTTGAGGAGTATCCTGAGGCCCCTTGTAAGGGCTGCCCTACTGGCTTCTCAAAGTATCCCCCTGGAAGCACAGTTACATCTGTATCCACCATGGCAGCTTCAGCCTGGGAAATAGAGGATAAAGAAGGCATAATAGGTATAGACACACTCTCTTCAGACTCAATCTTTGAAACAGAATGAGGCAGATCTGTACAAAGTACAACTCCTGAGGCAGGCATAGAGGGATAAACTTCTGGCTTGATCTCTGAGCCTGCTGCAGATCGGTCCACATGCAGTCCAGGTATGCAAGCAGATGCAAACTCAGCCTTGTCCAGATGAGACACAGAGGCAGATGTAGACAAAGCCATGTCAGGCTCAGAGGCAGGTGTAGACTGATTTGAATTGGGTTGACATTTGAAGGCAAGTGTGGACAAAGTTGTGTTAGGCACGGAGGCATATGTAGACAAAGCTATGTCAGATTGAGGCTTGGAGACAGGTTTAGACACATTTGGTGTGGCATTGGAGATACCTGGATGAGCTTCCTGGACAGGTTTTGATACCATGTGTAGCACAGCTCTGGGTGTCTTTCTGATCTGGTCTGTATCTTGGTCAGTTTTTAGAACAGGTGTGGAAGGATCCAAGCCTGATTCTTGTCTGGCCATCTGTTCAGGGATACTAGAGCCATGTTCAGGAGTAACTGTAGAGTCTGACTGTGGCTTATCCTGCTGGGTTTTTGCCCTTAGTGTCTCAGACATAAGAACCTCCTTGGGCCTTGTCTCTGTAAGCTGTGGGGAGCTCATGTGGACAGTAGCAGAGCCCAGAGATCCAGAGCACTTGGTCCCCTTGGCACCCACAGCGCGCCTCTTCTTACGACCAGGATTTCGCAATGGAGCTTCTAGGCTATCAGGGGGACTCTGAGGAATGGCACTGTGGTCAGAGGACTCAGTACCATGAGGGGGCTTACCAGGAGAGCCAGGGGCAGGGCCCTGCAAAAGCCTTTGCATCTTGTCTCTGAAAGTTGATGACCCAGGGAAGGACAAGGCCTGGCCAGAACAGACACTATCTGAGCTGGGAAACAGTAGAGCTTCTGACTGTGTGGACGTGCTAGGTGCCTGATGACTGGCCTCCAGAGCCAGGACAGGCTCACACTGAGACCTGCTGATCAGCTGCTGAGCAGCCACGTCCTCCAACTCACAGCCCTGTTGTTCCCTCCCTTGGGGAGCCAGCTGCCCAGTGAAGAGGGGTGGGGGCCTGGGAGGGCTGCTTCCACTGCTGTCCCCTTGGTCAATGTCACTGGACAAGAGCTCGTCACCAGAGGCCAGGCCAGCCTGCAAGAGGCCACACTCATCAGCAGTGGCTGAGAACTCGGCCCACTCTCGATCACTGAGCTGGACACTGTACTGGAAGTTGTCCATTGCACATCAGCAGAGGTGCTGGAGTGACAGCAAGACTTTGGGCCAGGCAGCGTCTTCACAAATCCAGGCTCCATGCACTAAGTAGCACACACTACCAGCACCCTGCCTGACCTTGTAGCACCTGCCCTCTCCCTGGCAGTCCATTTCCATCTGAAGGAACCACAAGACAAACTCTGCTTCTTGTTTCTTCCAGATTCTTCTACTTCATTCTTCTGAGTTAGAAGTCTACTTCAGTTTCTCCTATTTTCAATTCAACTCCAAATAGTGTCACTGTGACAGATTGTCACTGTCCTAAAATGAAATATGATTTCATATTAGTGAAGTAAACTAAAGACCAGGGTTAGCCATGTTTGGATGGTGTTCCCTCACATCTCTGAGATCTTTCAATGGGATTGCCTTCCCTTCTTCACCTGGTACAGTGTTCTGCATCAAAGACCACCCTTTGACAGTTATCTCTAGCCTCTCAAGCTATCACCACTGGCATCTAACCAAAGAAGAGGATCTATAGTACCCAGCAGGTGACTAGTCTTCTGGATGATGACCTTCCACCTGGCTGGAACACATTTTCTGAGCTTATCAAGGTCATGTTGGTACTGGCCAGAGCCTGCTCAAAAGTAAGAGGAGCCTGAGCTAGAGGTCACAGAACTTAAATGAGCCCCCTTGAGGCCCAGCAGCCCTCTCTGGGTGTCCTCAGGGTCTGTATTCCCATCTACTCCTTCCCTGCTGTACAAGGCCCCATTTTGCCCCATTTCTGTGAACTAAGATGACCAGAACTAGACAAGGCCTCAGCCTCTATCCCCTAAAGGGACCACTCTTGGGGCCTTGGCCAGCTGTGTTTAGAATGAGGATAGTAGGAGGTCACTATGACTGGAACAGTTCCAAGTGAGAAAAGCCACTGAGGGCTTCCTACCCACCAGCCTTTATCTTCTCCCTAGCTCCTGGAGAGGCCATGATAAAGCTTTTCTGCCATCAGGACCCCTAGGCAGAAGCAATAGGCTAAGGTATCTTACCTGCTTCTCAGCAGCCAGCTGGGGCAGTGGAGCTACACATCTAGAGGCCTGTCCCCAAGCAACATGGTGCTAGGCTTCTTAATGCAAGCTCCACCCCTATGTCCAAAAATATCCTGTCCCTGGGATCACTTATGACTCGTGCCAGTCTCAGAGCCAAGCCACAAATAGATGGCATTTGAGGGCCCTCCAACAATATGAAGGACATTTTCCTGGTATGGGGCCAGCACTGGGGGCTGGCATCAGCTAAGGTCACATCAGATTCCAACTAGAGAAGACTGCCCTATGATCAGCACTATGCAGGTTTCCTTTCCCAAGAAAAAGGAGACCTGTGCTTCCAGCTCATTGTGAAACTTTAGTCCCACCCCACCTACCACCTACATGTCTTATGCTCAACCTTGCAGACAACATTGCTGACCTAGATCTGACATCCAGGGCTCATGGGAGCCTCCTGGACATTGCTAAACCTGCCAATGGGACTAGAAGAATGGTGCATTCATTGCTCTTGTGTAGGACTCCCCAGATGGACCTCAAAACAAAACAAAGGAAATGGGCAAGATCAAGGGGACTAACTGTAGTCAGTGGGGGGGGAAAGTGTATTGGTGGAATAGTCCTAAAACAGGGTGGCCACTGTACTTCAAGAAGACCTGGGCAGAGCATCCAGCATCTGTGCTGAGCTCCTTGCTAGGCTTCTGGGCATGTTTCTGTAAACTCATCCATCCCAAGATGGGTACTAGGAGACCCTTCTTTCTGAAGGGAATGAGACACAAAGAGGGAATTTCTACACAATCAACACATAACAGAACAGGGTCCGTAAACTCTGCTTGTTTGTTAACACTGCCCAGGCTGACCTCAAACTTGCTTTAGAGCAAGGCTGGCATCAAACTTACAATTCTTTTATGTCAGCCTCCAAAGCTCTAGGATAACAAGCATGTGCATCTCAATACTGCCTATCCTCTTAAAGAATTATTGCTCTAAGCCGGGCATAGTGATGCACACCTTTAATCCCAGCACTAGGAAGGCAGAGGCAGCTGGATCTCTGTGAGTTCCAGGCCAGTCTGGTCTATATAGCAAGCTCCAGAACAGTCAGGACTACATAGAGAATCTCTCAATCTCTCTCCCTTTCTCTCTTCCCCCTCCCTGTCCCTCTCCCTTTCTCTCCTCCCTGCCCTTCTCCCTCTCTCCTTGTCTCCCCGTCTCGTCTCCTCTCTCCTCTCCTCTCCCCTCCCCTCCCCCTCTCCTTCCTTCTCCCTCTTCCTCTCCTTCCCTCCCTCCTTTTCTCTCTCTCTGTCTCACACACATACACACACAAGCACACAATTATAGCCTTAGGCATGGTTGTGCATGCCAGTAATTCCACTTAGGAGATAAAAACAGAAAGATGAGGAGTTAAAGGGCATCCTCAACTATATACCAACTTTAAGGCCAACTTGGGCTATATAAGATCCTCTCTTTAAAAACAGAAAAAAATGAAAGAGGTCTTTGACTGCTTCAAAACCCATGAAAATATTCTTGCTTTATTTTCCCAAGCCAGTTGGTATTGGTGTCTCGGCACACTGCTTTGTTCTCAAAAGGGTCTAGGAAACTCAGCATTGTATCCTACAAAGACAGCATTGTTACTTTATAACAACTTAGGAGATGCACACATGTGGGTCTGTGTCTAGGGAAATGGACTTTTGAGATAAAACAGCTCTGGAAGTCTGGGTTGGAGCGAGGGATGCTTTGGCTTTCCCATGTAAGAGTACAGGGTCAACAAAAGGGAAGTGGAGATAGTAGGACTAGGATAGAAAAGGGTCTTATTATGGGGCCAGGAGAAAAAGCTTTGCAGAAACAAGCTTCACAACAGTTGGCTCAGCCTTCAGAGAAAAGCCCTTTCTTCCATTTATACCTCAACTATGAACCTTCTTTGTGAGAGGTTAGGAGCAGATGTTTGTCTAAGGGAAAGGATCTGTAACTATTCTCAGCCTAAGCAGGAAGATGATATGTTCACAGCACAGCTATCTTGTAGAAGACACAGTTATCAATAGTGACAGCAGCCTGGTCAGTAGGCACAACAGATGAGCTGGCAAAAGGAAGGATGGCTTTCATGTTCTTTGGCCAAGGAGAAACAATACCCTGCAGTAAGACCAAGCAGAAATGGACAAAGTTTTGCCTGAAATGCCACAAGAGGGCACCAAAATTCTACTGTCAAAGGAAAAAGCCAACTTTCAGCAAGTTGTCCTTTTGCCTGCACACACACACATACACACATGCAAAAAAATAAGTAAATAAAGGTAGTTTTGGTTTTATAAAAGATTTATTTTAAAATAGTATTAACACAGGATAAACTGCAAATGTTTAAAGTATACAGCGCTAGATTTTGACATAGGTATTCTGTTAGGATGTCAGTCTCCAAAGAGCCAATAGCCTGTCACCCAGGGCTATTTTTTGCCCTGGTGATTCCTTCTTCCTCTCCCCTCAAGGGGAGGAAACCATTGTCAGTTTTCTGTTACTATAAAGTGGATCACCTTGTCCAGAATTTTATGTAAATGAATCATATGTTGCAGCAATCTTTCTGAAATGAGCACTCCAACATCAGTGAGAGTAGAAGAGAGATTAATTCACCAGTGGAGCAAATCCATGATAGCTCCTAGAAGGCCTCATATCAGCTCCAGTTTGCATTCTCATTTTATACTTTAAACCCACAAGATAGGGCAAACAAGCAAGCAAATTTTTACAGAAGCATACTGTCAGCAGGTTGTTAAGGGCAACAATCTGTTGCTTCCATTATTTCTCCAAGTCATTCTTTTCCAAGTAGCAAGTGAAGTCATCCTTGGCAAACGGGCAGCACAACCAGTGCTCTACGTAAATCATTAAATAAATCAGTGTCTAATAACTGGTCTTCTCCATCTTATTCTACTTCATATACAGTAGATATTGGCTTGCACTGTCTGAAAGATTATAGTTGTGGTTGTTGTTTGTTTTTTAGGTTTATCCACCCTGTTGCATTCATCAAATTTGTTTTTTGAGACAGGGTCTCACATTGTAGACCACCATGATCTCAAATTCAAGGGAACTTGCTGTCTCAGACTCTGGAGTTCTGAGATTACAAATGTGATTTACCATAGCTGGCTTAAATTTATCATGTTTAAAAACTGGGGCCCAGGGAGCTGGAGAGATGGCTCAGAGGTTAAGAGCACTGGCTACTCTTCCCGATGTCATGAGTTCAATTCCCAGCAACCACATGGTGGCTCAAACCATCTATAATGAGATCCGGTGCCTTTTTCTGGCATGCAGGTTTGTATGCAGACAACACTGTATACATAATAAATAAATAAATCTTTAAAAAAAAATTGGGGGCCAGGTATGGTAATACATACCTTTTGTGGTGTTTGTTTTTTGGTGTTTTGAGGAAGGGTTTCTGTGTGTAGCCTTGGCTGTCCTGGACTTTGTAGACAAGCTGGCCTTGAACTCACAGAGATCCACCTGCCTCTACCTCCCTGAGTGCTGGGATTACAGGCTTGTGCCACCTTGTCCAGGTCCAAGTAGGGATACATACCTTTAATATCTGCAGATGCAAGCAGATCTCTGTGAATTTGAGGCCTGCCCGATCTACATCAAACGGCTATATGATAACCCTCTGGAGAGAGAGAGAGAGAAAATGTCTATAGTTTCTTTTTTAAATTGTTTTTATTTTAGGTTCATTGGTGTTTTGTTTCCATGTCTGTGTGGGTGTGTCAGAAGCCTTGGAAGTTACAGACAGGTAAAGGAAAATCAACCAGTGCTTTTTCCCACTGAGCCATCTCTTCAGCTCCAAATTCTATAGTTTCTAAAGACAGGGTCTTACTGTGTAACCCTGGTTTGTACGGAACTCGATATGTGGACCAGGCTGGCAAATTCAGAGATCTGCCTGCCTCTGCCTTCTGAATGCTGAGATTAAAGGTATATACTACCATTGTTTTGCTGGTCTTATCTTAATTTGACATACAAACTAGAGTTATCCAAAAGAAGGGAAATTT